ACGAGATGCTGTCCCCCGCCTTCGCGAGGCCTGGTTTCAGGCCTGGCGAGGACTGCCCGTTTGTGACTACTTGAGGACAGCACTACTGACTCGGCTCCTGGGGTGGTGCCCAGGGCCCCAGAGGGCTCACCCGACACACGGAGACCTGGGCCGGGCCATCCTGAGACACATCATGGCAGGGGCCAGGTGTTATCCTGGACACAGAGAGGCTCTTTATCCTAAGGAGGTGGAGCCTGGCAGGCGGCCACCCGGGCCCAGGGCCCTCTGTGCCGCAGGCCAAGCCACAGAAGGAGGGCAAGCCGACGTCCGGGGCTGGATTTGACTGGACGCCCATCCTCGGGTGTGTTCTTCAGGTTGTGCCCAGCCCCGGGGTGCAGGGGGCCCCGCGGGGGTGCCCGGGGCGGGAAGGGAGGGAGGGGCAGAGGAGGAGAAGGAGAGCGGGCTGGGGTGGCCCCAGGCTGTCCCTGTTCCCCTGCCGTCGAGGCGGGGAGACCCCAGGCCAGCGCACCTGCGGAGTCCTGCGCCCTGGCCACTGGGCAGGTGCCGGGGGTCCGGTCCTGACACGGCCACTGCCGCTGTAGATGTGGACCCTGAGCTGCCCTTTCAGGTCGAGACAACAGATATAAATGTGCTGAGAGCCCTCGAGGGGTGCTGCCCTTCTCGCTTCACCCTTTTGTCCACAGACACAGGAGCCCCTGTGTTCCTGCCACTGTGGGGCGGGGGTCCCAGCCTCTCCCCAGAGCACGGCAGCCGCAGCTCCTGCAGTGCCCCTTGCGGCCACACGGTGGCACTGTTGCAGCTCCGCCGCCGCTGACCCCAGCTGCCGGCCCGGCCCCCCGCCCCGACCCGTCGGACACCCTCATTCACCCGGCTCCTGCCCCCCGAGGCTGCGGGCTGTGTTGGGCTGAGCCAAGGTCCCCTCTGGTCTCCCACTCTCGCAGGGTGCCTGGATGGGGCTTCTGGTCACCCTCCCTGCCTCACCACCGGGCCCCTCTGGACCTACCATGGCCCACCCAGGGGTCTCCCTAACCAGGCTCTGGGTGTGGGGCAGCCTCACCACCCTCTGGAAGCCGCGGGGCTCCTTTTACAAGTCCCCCCCACCTCTGTGGACCTGTGTGCCTGTGCAGCCCCCCAATTCAGAGGGGCCCCTAGGGGCCCAAGTCTCGTCACCAGCGAGGGGGACAGTGAGCCTGCTCTGGCCCACCTCCCTCTCTTTTCTTCAGTGGCATCTGCCTCCGAGCCCCCTCAAGTCTGTGAAAATGCGGTCCCAGGGAAGCAACCCCCACCCTCCATGGAGGCTCAGGCCCTGGGTCCCTGGGACACCCCCGCCCCCATTTTCAAAGATGAGAACACGAGGCTCACGACGGCAGGTGACGTGCCTGGGGCTGGGCAGTGAGCTGGCCGCGGCAGAGCAGGGACCCCCGCCCATCTCTAGAGGGGAGCCCGCCTCTGACCCTGGGTGGGTGGACGGGGAGCCCACGTTCCTCGTTCCTCGGGGTGGAGGCCCTCCCAGTCCATACAGCCACACGCGGAGGGCGGCAGTGATGAAGCAGGAGGTGGCCACCCCCCTGGGTGTCACATGCAGACCCCCACCAGGGCCCACCAGTGGTGTGACACGGGGGCTGTGACCTCCCGGGGTCCTCAGAGGCAGGCTGAGCTGATGGGGGGAAGGCCCTGGGGACACGGGCAAGCTCCACAGGCGGGTCTGGGGTCTTCTGGGAGGCTGAGGCCCAGCCCTGGTGTCCCCTCTGACCGCTGAGATTGCTGCCAGGGGCCTTCTGGAACTTTCCCAGTGCACTCCCGGTCACAGGAGGACAGTCTATTCCCGGGACAGACCAGAACCCGGAGATGGCCCCGGCCCGCAGAACTGTAGGTGGAGTCACGGGGTCCCCCGCGGGCAAGGGGATGGCTGACCATGGGGTCCAAGCCAAGCGCAGGCCCAAGGGCACGCCCTGGCTGGAAGCCCCTCCCACTCCGGGCCCCTCCCCGCCACCCCCGTCGTTTCTGCTGGGGTGGGGGAGGGGAGTGCGGGGGGAGAGGGGGCGGCCAGAGGCCCTCCGTGCACCCCGTCAGTGGCTTCAGCTGGGCCGCGGCCCATCGCAGGCACCCGGCCGCAGCTGGAACCCATTACGCCCCCAGCTCCTCCGGGACGCCCCGGCTAATAAGTGACCCTCTGTAAATGTTAGGAATGAGTCAAGCCTGTGCCGTGGCTCTTTCCCGTTAGAGCAGGGAGGGCGCGGGGAGGGGGGCCTCGGTCCGGGGCCTTCCTGGCCTAGGAGGAGGCTTCCTGGACGTGACCCCTCAGGGAGGACCACGGCTCAGCGCCTGCCTTTGGGCTCGCCTTCCTGGAGGACCGGGGAGGCCTTGGTGGTCTTGGCGCCCCATCCCCGGCTGCGCCCAGAAGGGACGGCCCCCATCTCCTCCCCTCTCTCAGCTCAGGGAGGCTACTCACAACTCACCAGTCATGCTGAGGGGTTAGCAGGGAGGTGCACTGAAGGTTACTCATCAAGGCCTCCCAGGGTATGCAGATGCCCATAGCAGCTGAAGGAGAGCAGGCTCCTCACTCCCATGGTGCTCACTCCCGGGTCCTCACTCCCATGGTGCTCACTCCCGGGTCCTCACTCCCATGGTGCTCACTCCCAGATCCTCACTCCCACGGTCCTCACTCCCACGGTCCTCACTCCCACAACCTCACTCCCACAGTCCTCACTCCCATGGTGCTCACTCCCGGGTCCTCACTCCCACAGTGCTCACTCCCAGGTCCTCACTCCCATGGTCCTCACTCCCAGGTCCTCACTCCCACGGTCCTCACTCCCACGGTGCTCACTCCCAGGTCCTCACTCCCACGGTCCTCACTCCCACGGTGCTCACTCCCACGACCTCACTCCCACAGTCCTCACTCCCAGGTCCTCACTCCCAGGTCCTCACTCCCACGGTCCTCACTCCCACAGTCCTCACTCCCACGGTCCTCACTCCCAGGTCCTCACTCCCAGGTCCTCACTCCCACGGTCCTCACTCCCATGGTCCTCACTCCCAGGTCCTCACTCCCGGGTCCTCACTCCGGGGTCTCACTCCAGGGTCTCACTCTGGGGTCTCTTTTCGGGGTCCCCCTCTGGGGTCTCACTCCGGGGTCCCCCTCTGGGGTGTCACTCTGGGGGGCCGGGCGGCAGCGTCGGCTCAGTGTCTGGGGCTCACTGCACTGCTATGGGCAGAACAGGGGCACAGTGGTCATGCACGAGTTCGGGTCCTGGGGTGACCCCGGCCCCCCTGGAGCTGATGTGGAGGAGGTCTTCTGTCTGGGCAGATGTGAGTGGAGCCTGTCCCAGGAGCATGGATCAGGCTGAGCTTGTACCAGGCATGGCGGGAGGGCAGGGCTGAGCCCAGAAAGCCCCTGTCCCAGCAGCCTGGCCGGAGATCAGAGCCAGGTGGGGGGTCTCGGCCTCACGAGGGTCTCCAGGGAGGATAGAGGGGGCGAGGACGGGCAGGGAGAGGCTGGGCAGCGGTCACGCAGCACGCCCTGGACGGGAGGGAGCCGTGGGGAGCCTCGGGGCCAGTGTCTCGGGACGCCAGAGGACAGGGCGCTGGGTCCTTGGGGGTCATGAGGGCACCCTGCCCTGTCGCTCTAGAGCCCCCGGGGCGGACATCCACCCCCAGTTCCTCCCTCAGCACGTCACTCATGGCCTGAACCTCACGGTGGACGCCGCAGGGCCGGTGGGCAGCCGGGCACATCCCGACCCCGGGCAGTCCCTCTCGTCACCCTCTCACGTCCGGAGCACTCATGCCACTTGAGAATTGGCTGCCTCGGCCCCCAGTGTTCACACATCTTCCCCACGGTCAGTGTCGGGATCTGCCCTGTGCGAAGGCCCTGCCCTGCCCTGGGCTCTGGAGAGCACCCAGGCCCCCCCGGCGGGCCACTTTCCTGCAGCCAGGAACCCACGGGGCTGAGGCCAAGTGCCGCCCGGCGCCCAGGAGCCCAGGACCAGCCTCTGGGGACCCAGGACCCCAAGTCTCCTACCCAGGACCAGGGACCCAGGACCCGGGACCCCGGGCCTCCTACCCGGGACCCAGGACCCCGGGGTTCCTGCCACTCCCAGGCCTGTTCAGAGCGCTTCCACAGCCGCTGAGCTGCTCTGAAGGGCCAGGCCAGACCGTGCCCACTGTGCGCTCACTGCCTCGCCTCGGTCCTGCCCCACCCCATCCCCGGGCCCCCGCGGCCCCTCCCTGTGGATAGGGCGGCCGGCCTCGTTCTCCAGGAAGCCGTGTGGGTGCAACCCGGTCCTGCTACCGGTGGCCAGCCCCTCTGTCCACAGGGCTCTGGGCCCTCTGGGTGGGGTTCAGTCCCCTCCCTGCCAATGCCCACTGTGAAAACCGGGGGACCACCTGCTCCAGGGGTGCCAAAGGCGGGGGCTCTGCCTCCCAGGGTCCCCAGAGAGACCCAGGGCAGAGGTCAAGGCACCCCACAGAGGCACGCTGGGCCTGGGCTGGGGGCTCCCTGACCGCTCTCCCTTCCTCACCTGAGCTTGGAGCAGCTCCGGGATGGGCAGGACAGCCTCCCCCTTCACAGGTGGCCTCGGGGGACCTCAGCCTCGCCCGGTCCTCCCCAGGGCGGTGTGGTGCCCCCCTGACTCCGGTGGATTCATGGGGGTGTCTGGCAGCGGTGCCGGGACCTGCCGGCCCCAGGGGTCTCTCGTGCGTGTCTTTCAGAGGCTGGAGGACACCATCCTGAGCCCCGCGGCCAGCAGAGAAGACCGCGCGCTGACTGTGCGTGGGGGACGCTGGCGGGCCTCCCCCACCCCCGTGCCTGCCCGCATCCGTGAGATTGTGGCCAGCAGTCTGGCCGAGGGGCCTCCCCAAGGTGAGGGGGCGCCCCAGGGGAGCGGCAGGGCGGTGGTGGGTGTCCAGGCCCAGGGAGCATAGCCCCCCAACCCCATGCCCTGGCTCGGCTGGCCCCTCCCGGCCTGTCACCGTCCCCTGTGCTAGGGTGAGACTCACACCCTCCCATGGAGTCACCCACGGAGCCAGAAGCTCACACGCACAGCGTGCTCACCCCTGAGCTGCGGAGACCGTCCCCACCCAGCGTGCATTTCTGTTTGTGACTCTTGGCGACTGCCAGTCTTGTTTCTCACTGGATGAGTGAGAATCCTAAAGGCTGGCGCTCAGGAAGCGCAGGTGCAGAGCGGCGGCCCGCCCACCAGCCCCACTGCCGGCCCTCTCACTGTCGGTCACCGTGGCCACCAGCCTGGCCCCAGGCCGTGCTCCTGACCCCTCGTGCGTGGGTCCCAGAGACCCCTTTCGGTAGTAAGGGCCTCTCCAGCCTCCGAGAGGAGCCAGGGCCTCGCTGTGTGTGTTAAGGAACGAGAGCCCTGCGTACCTAGACCAGCACTTGCTACTCGGGGGGACAGCACCCTGCGGCCCTGAGGCAGCGGTTCTCAAGCCCAGCAGGGGTAGGGTGCCCAGCGTCCGGGCCGCCCCCACAGGCCCTCTGCTGTGCTGGTTTGGGCTGCACTCGGGAGAGATGTGAGTGGGCACGTGCCCACCCAGAGGAGAGGAGGGTCCGCTCCTCTGCACCGGGGGCCCCTGGGCCGGGGTGGATAGGCCGCCAGACTGGGGGCTGGCCCGGCCACAGGCTGACCCTACTGCTGCGCCTGCAGGGCTGCGGGAGCCCCCGGCCGCCCCGGGCCCCGGGCCGGAAGAGCACGCGCCCCTGCAGGATGAGCTGTCCCGGCTGGAGGGCCTGCTGGCCCAGGCGGGCGCCGAGCAGGATGAGCTGGCTGGCAGGTACCACGTGGTCAGCAAACGGGTGAGTGCTCAGGGCGCCTGGCAGCCTGCCCTGGGGTGACCCACGGGCCCACCAGCAGGGGGACGACAGTGGCCGGCCACGGCCGAACCCTGCGCCGCAGCGAGAGAAACAGGCTGGAGCAGGCAGGTGAGGTAGGACGGTGCCCAGGGGTCCTGACCCAGCTTAAGTAATGACTTGTGCCCACCTGCCCAGAACCCCGGGGGGGGCCAGGACAGTCCCGACCTGTGGGGCCAGTGCCCTGCCCAGCGCGAGCACATGGACACACCTGCCAAGGGGAAGCGGGCAGGCTGGAAGGACCTACTGCACCCCGGTCTCGCCCCTAACAGCCGAGGTGGACAGACAGGCCCTGGGCACACCCTCAGTGCCCCCAGCGGCCACAGGCCCTGCCAGGGTGACCGGCTGCAGCCAGAGGCCAGTGGTGCCCAAGCTGTGGGGCCAGGAGGGCCTCCCAGTGTGCGGGCGGGGAACCTGAGGCGGGGAGGAGACGGAGGTCACCGGGCAGGGCCTCTGTCTCGTGTCCACCGCCCCAAGTCGTGACGGCCTCAGAGCAGGACGGGGCAGGGTGCCCAGCCCACAGTGGGGGTGCTCAGAGCACCTGGGTCTGCACGGCCCCCCACTCCATGCAGCGGGACAGACGACCCCAGATGAAGGAACAGGCTCACGGCAGGTCCCAGCCGTGCAGGGCCACGCTGCAGGCTGAGACCTGACCCAGTCCGGCCCTTTCTCTGGTGTGGTTGGTGACTGAGGCTGAAATCCCCAGCCGGCCATGTCTCCTCCCGGGTCCTGATGGCTTCCTGGGGTCGGTGGCATGCCCAGCCCCACAAAGGGGCCCCGGGACCCCCGTCCTCACCCGCGGCCCCACGAAGGGGCCCCAGGACCCCTGTCCTCAATCCCAGCCCCACGAAGGGGCCCCCCAACCCCATCCTCACCCCCCAGCCCCACAAGAGGCCCCCCACCCCGGTCCTCACCCCCAGTCCCCCCCTCCCCGGGAACTCCTCTGGCAGGACCGGCAGGCCGGGAGCACTCGGTGAGCTCGCCACCCTCCCCCTTCCGGGCCGGCGTGGAGCTGGGCGTGGGGGCGTCTTCCTAGCACAGGGTGGGGAGATGTTGGGAACAAGAGGCCGGTGGGAATAAAAGCCGCAGAAGCCCTGCAGCCAGATTAGGAAACCGAGTGAGTCAGTGAGATCCTGGCTCCAGGCCACGCCCGCACCCCCCCCCGCCCCCCCCTCGGCGAGCGTCGGCCCCCTGCGTACAAACGGACCTCGGAGGAGTCTGGTCTCCCTGAGTGCCCCCAAGGAGACGGGTGGGGCGGTGTGGGGGTGGGCGTGATTGCTCTGTGGGTGTCTGTCTCCTTCCTCGCCGGGTCCCCCAGCCCCATCCCAGCGCCCCCCCACCCCCACCAAAGGCCTCAGGGGAGCCCCATCCTCCCCACCTCCCCCACCCACCTCCTTGGCCCCAGGCCCCGCCACAGGTGAGCCCTCGGTTCTCCTGGTCTTCCTGTCTCAGCCCCCGCCAGCTGTCCCCCTGGGCCTGTTGCAGCCCTTCCTCGGACCCCAGAATGTGCTCTGGGTGAAGATCTGGGTGGCGGCCCCGGCCCCCAGTGACCCCTTTCCCTCAGAGCGAGGTTCCCATCCGCTCAGCCCTGCAGACTCAACAATGGTCTGGGCCAGTTCTGGGGGCTTCCCTACCACCAGACCCACCTGGGGGCTGCAGGCCCACCTACTGTGGGGTGGCCTTGCCCCCTGCTGGATGAGGGGCTGGGGGCAGACAGAGGTTCAAGCACAGGCAGAAGGGGCAGGGTGGGACCCCACGCGCACTCACTGCCATGCAGGTGACCACAGTCCAGCTCCATGTCCCTTCGCCTGGCCTGATGTGGGGCCTCCTCCGCTGGCTGCGGCACGAGGCGCAGGGCCAGCGTGGGGATGGCCACCATCCTGACCCCTCTGACCAGACCCCAGTCAACAGCACCCCTGATCTCAGCCTGAACCCCACCCCAGCTGGGGACCCCCAGAGCCCTCCCAGCCATCCCAGAGAGGGCACTGTGCCTGAGCCGTCCGGCCTGCAGGGCTGGGAAGCAGCCGGCCAGGTGGGTCACCGCCCTCTCCAGCTGCAGGCCCGGCTGGAGGCCACCAAGGCCCAGCTGCAGAGGTCGGAGCTGGAGCGCAGCGTGGACCTGGAGGAGGCCCTGGGCCGTCTGGAGGCGGCCGAGCAGAGGTGAGGCCGGGTGGGCGTGGACGGCAGGGCTGCAGGGAGCCGCGGGCAGGGCAGGTGGCCTGGGCTGTTGGCGACTCCTCCAGAGTGACTCGGAGTCAGAGCCAGGGGGTGCAGGGCAGGGCGGGGCGGGGGCCACACCCCTGGGCCTCAGTCTGCTCCCTGCTGTGCCACCCCAGCACCCCCCCCCCCGCCGCCCCGCCACAGCTGGGGCCGGGGCTGTGGCCCATGCTACGGGCAGGTCGGGCCTTGGTTGACCTGGCCAGTCCTGGGGTGTCTCTGGGTTCCCCCCCAATCCCACTCCTCTTCCCACTCCAACCCTGACCCCCAGACCCCTCTGGCTTCAAGCTGCTCTGCGGTCATGACCAGGCTCATTTGCACACTGTGGTAATTGTATGTCACCCCCAGCCCCCCAGAGGGAGCCCCAAGCCCCAGGACACGCCCCTGGAGGGAAGAGCATCTCACCAAGGTCCGTGCCGAGGGAAGCAGGCGGGGCGGGGCCCCCAAGGCGGCTCTGTCGCAGACCCGGGAAGGTTAAGCCGTCTATGGCATGCTTCCCGGACTTGCTTCCTCCTCAGGGACACTGGCAAAGGATCAGTGTTGAGAAGCATCTTGAAAACCAGTTTTGGAGAAGCAGGGGGTAGGGGCAGGGGCTGCAGGAAACAAACCTCCAGGAGGCTGATGCCCCCAGAGCAGAGAGGAGCAGAGAAATCCCTGTGGCCTTGCAGCCTGGCCAGGAAGTGTGGGCTCTGCAGGGTTTGGGGTCCCCGACTGCAGCCACACACAGGCCTGCCTTGCGGGCAGAGAGGCCCACAGTCACAGAGGGGCTGCCCCTTCCCTGGGGCACGCCTGGCCCCTCTCCCCCAGCCCGCCCCGCGACAGGGACGCGCCTCCCTCCCAGCCCTGGTCCCCTCGGCTGGGGCTCCCGAGCCCTGACCTGCTTGCTGCCCTGGAGGCTCACCTCCACAGCCTGCAGCGAACAGCCAGCCGTAGTCGTGAGGGCCGAGCCAGGGAGCTCAAGGGCGGGAGGAGGGGACAACAGATATGTCGGGGGGAGCGGGGTGCCAGAGGGGGATCCTCTGCAGGCAGTCAGCGCCACTTAGGAGCGGTGGGGCTGCACGGTCGAGCTGGGGTCGTCTGAGCCCAGGAGGTCTGGGGCCTGATGATCTGAGAATGTCTGTAGGGGAGGCCACCTTCCTACGATCACGCTGCCGCGTCCCTGCCCGTCCAGGAGCACCGGCCTCTCCCAGGTGAACGCCCTCCTGCGGGAACAGCTGGAGCACATGCGGAAGGCCAATGACAGGCTGACCGAGGAGCTGGCCAGGACGACGGGCAGCATGCTCCGTCTGCGGGCCGAGCTGGAGCTGCGGGAGGCGCGGCGCCGGACCCACAGAGAGGTGCTCCCTGGCTCCCGCTCGTGGGCAGGGGGACGCCCGGCTCGGTGCCCGCAGCTGGGGCGGGGGTGGGCAGCGAGGACCGGGAAGGGGTGAGCCGGTGGCCGCCCCCAGCCACACCACGGCCCCCTGCTCGGCCTGGTCACAGCTGTCTGTGGAGTGGGGCTCACCAGGTGGAAAGCCCCCACTTTGAGAGAAGGATCCGATGGCTGGACTGGGAAGTCAGGTGAGGGCTGAGCCCTGGCCCCGGCGTGGCCGCCCTGTGCTGGAGGGAGGAGTCTCTGCGAGCTGGACTCCGGGCCAGCAGGGGCCCCGCGGCCTCTTCCAAAATCCTCAGTCCTGGGTGGAGTGTGGGCACGGGGCTCCGGCCTCAGCCTCGCTGCAGCAGCGATGCCGTGTGGACCATGTAGGGTGGTCGCCAGCTTCAGGACACGCAGAGTGGAGTAGGGCAGGACTTGAGACAGTCAGCCGCGCCTGTGCCTGGCCGCGCCTCCCCTGATCTGCCCTGGATGCCCCCGGGCCCCCCCAGCGCCTGCCAGCAGCCAGCCAAGGCGGTCCCCGGGGCCCTGGCCTCAGACCAACCCTGCGCAGGGGTCCCTCAGACAAGCCCACCGCAGAGGGGCCATCCTGGCTCTTTCCACATGGACCTGGTGGAGCAGAGGCCGCCCCCGCTGTGTAGACATGACCCCTCCTGCCAGACAGCTGTCCCGGGACAGGAGGGTGTCAGACGGGCGTGGGGAGAAGGCACAGCCTTTCCGATCAGATCAGTCCTCACAGGGCGCTGGGCTGCTGCGGGGCCAGTGAGACGGGGTGGACACCTCACCCCCAGCCTCAGTTGGACAGCAGAACAGGCACCCCGGAGGCGGACCTTGGGTCCAATCTGGCACCAGCAGATCAGGGCTCTTTAGTCCCCCTTGGCCTTGAACGCCACTCCCACTTGCTGGCAGCTGTTTTTCTCAGCACCTTAGCGACGTCCTGGCTTGTCTCCTGGCTTCCAGCCTGCCAACACCCGCCAACCCCTGACTCCTCTGGCGGGCATCGCACTCTGGCCACTGGGGATTCTCTGCTGTGACTTCCTGTGACCGCCGACTGCAGATTTCTGTTTATTCTGCTTCCACTCATCAGGGTTCCTTCTCTCCTTGTTTGGGGAAGCCTCTGTTCTGTCTTCCACAGTTGCCCGAGTCCCACCTCCCCCTCCCCCCCCACCCTTTCTAGGCTCCCTCCTATGCTCTTAACCTCCCCTCCTTACCGCCGTGGTCTATGTCGTGGGTAATTTTTTTCAAGTCCACCCTGCTGCTCATCAGTTTTCTCCCCTGGTATCCAATCTCTGTTAAACCTGCCTGTTTCGCTTAACTTCTAATACTGTATTTTTCATCTTTAAAAGTTCTGACTTTTATTCTGTTTTCTGCGTATCTTAGTCTCGTATTTTCAAGCCTCTGTTATGTTTGTTGATGCATGCTAGAAAGCAATCATTTTGTAGCCTGTTTCTGATGTTCTAATATCTGAACTCCTTCAAGGTCTGAGTTCATTGTTTCTGCTGGTTCTGACCATGGTGCTGGGTGTCTATGTGTCTTTGGTGGTTTTCTGATTTCTTCAGTTAAGAGCCGTGTAGTATCCTTGGAAGTCTGAGAATTCTTTGAAACCTAGAATGAACATGGTACATCCCAAAAAAGATTTTTATTTGCTTCTTTCATTTCATTGCTTTCATTTGCAGATTCTAGGGACTCTGATAATGTTTGGGGCCACATGGAAGTAAATTTTCAGCTTTAACTTACTGTTTTTTCAAACCACCCAGGTTTTGTGAATCTAGGCTGAAAACTGCACCAAGGCTAACTCATCTTTCCAAATCCAAATCTCCAAGATTTTTCCTTCCCGTCCTGGTCCCTCCAGGCTGCTGGAGCAGAAATAACCCAGTCCCGGGCTCATAAACAAACATTTCCCACAGCTCTAGAGGCTGGAAGCTTAAGATCAAGGTGCCAGCCCCTTCAGTGGCTGGTGAGGATGAGGACCGCTGTCTGATCACAGATGACACCTTCTGGCTATCCGCTCAAAAGGCAGAGGGGAGGGAGGGCTCGTTGGGCCCCTTCGGTGAGGGCACGAACACCCTCGATAGCAGTGAGCTGAAAAACCCCACCTCCAGACACTCTCACGTGGGTGGTTAGGTTTCAACATGTGAGTTGCGGGGGACACTGCCCCTCCGACAGTGTGTGTGCATGCATGCGTGTGTGTGTGCATGTGTGTGCTGGTTCACCATGCACTGCACCTCCTTACCGCCCCTGCAGGCAGGTGTGTGTGTGTGTGTGCGCGTGTGTGCAGGTCTGTCTGCCTCTAGCACACCTTGCCTGGAGTGCAGCTTGGGGGGTCACTGCTATAGGTGAGTAGACTCTCACTTGGGTGGGCCCAGGCTTTCCCCTCTTTCCTCGGAGCCCCCGTGGTCAAAGAAACAAGTTCAAGCTGCTGTATGCCAAGTCACTCTCGAGTCAGGAAGCTTACCCATCCCTGGCCTGCGTGTGCCTTACCGCCCCGGCCACCCAGCCTCGCGTCCAGACGCTGTGGAGTCTGGCGTGTCCTGTATTCCCGTCAGTGTCGGGCAGGCGGGGCTGGGTGTCCACCCCTCCATGTCACCGGGGCTCCTGATGACCGCAGTGGGCAGGGGGCGTGGACACAAGGCTCTGGGCCAGGACCAGGGGCGCTCCCGGAGGCGGTGCACCGCAGGGGCTTTTGGGCTCGTGGGGGGTCAGGTGTGGGTCGGGGAGAGGGCTCAGCAAAGGGCTCGTGGAGGTGGGAGCGCGGGTCTGCAGCCAGAGGGCCTTCGGTGAGAGCACTTGGTCTGAAGCAACAGTGACGAGCGCTGGGGCTCCAGCAGGTGGAGGGGCTATGGGGGCCCGCAGAGCCCGGCTCTGAGCTCAGTCCGGCCGCCGGGCAGGGCCTGCGGAGGCAGCGCCGAGGCTGGGGCTCTGGCTCTGGGCTTCAGCATAGTTCCCTGCAAGGCTGGCCTCGCTGCCCACGCGGGTCTGCATCCTGCTGCCTCAACTCTCGCCCACACCCCACCTCCCAACTCCCAACACCCCACTCCACCCCCTACGGAGGCAGCGCCGAGGCTGGGGCTCTGGCTCTGACCCATTCCCACACTCACCCCACACCACCTCCCCACCCCCACTGCCCACACCCCATGCCCCAACCCCATTCCCACCTCCCCACCCCAGCTGAGTGCTGCCTTCGCCCCCATGGGGACCAGGCTGAGGGGGTCCTGGTTCTGGAGCTGGGGGCGCTCACCCCCACAGCCTCTGGGAGGGGAGCCAAGCTCTGTCCCAGGTAGGGGGCAGTCTGATTGTTGGGGAGGAGAAGGGGCCACAGAGGCTGATGACGAGGTCTGCACCCCCACCTCTGGTGCTGGAGGAGCAGTATGGGGGTGAATGGGGTCGCAGGCCCCCCCACCCCTCAGCCTGGCCTCCGCCTCTTGCCTTCAGGCCAGGCACACCCACTCGGGACAGCCCCAGGACGCCCTCCTGCAGAGGCAGGTCACTGCGCTCCGGGGACACCTGGCCGAGCTGCGTGCAGCCACTGAGAGGTGCGTGCCTACCCACGGGCCCGAGGGGGACAGGGCGCCCTGGGGGAGGTGGCCAAACGCACAGAGTGGGTCAGGCAGGGAGCCCCCGTCAGCAGCAGCGGACTGACTTGCACGGAGCTCTGGGGCCTGGCCAGGCACCTCAGCCCGGCTGTCCTGGGCCCTTGAGGCTCAGACGGTCCACATGCCGGTCCAGGCGGACAGCCTGTCCTATGCGTCCTGGCCCAGCCCCGCCCACCCCTGCCCGGCTGTGATGCCACCTGTGGGTCCTCTCCTGAGGTGGGCAGACCTCTGGCCTGAGACCAGACCCCGCCTGGCCCAGCCGGCGTGCAGCCCCCAGGCGGAGCCCACAGACACCCCCGAGGTTCAGCTGGGTGCGCCTGGTCTCGCAGGGGCCTCGCTGACCTGCGGGCGGACGTGGCCAGGATGGCCCGGCGCCTGCACATGGCCTGCCTGAACCTCGGCTCCAACTTGCGGCTGACGGCCGGCAGCGCGGCTGCTGCCCTGGAGCAGCAGCTGCAGGACAAGGCGCGGGAGACGCTGCAGCTGCAGGGCCGCTCGGCCGCAGAGGAGGCGTCGCTCCAGGCCAGGTGCGTGGGCGCCCACGGCTCTGGGTCTAGGGAGGCCTAAGGGAGGCCTGGGGCCAGAGAAGAAGCTGGTTCCTGGGAAGAAAAGACAATAAATCGTCAGAGGCAATCCAGTCACAGGGAGGGGCAGGGCGCAAGCAGGTCAGGTTGGGCCGAGGAAGCCTCGCTGCGGGGCTGGCGAGCTGAGTGTGGGTCACGGTGGGAGCTCGATGCTGAACTCGGGGGCTGCGCTGACCCCTGAGGCAGTGGGAGCCGCTGAAGTTTCTAGAGCGGGAGAAGGGCATCTGACCACAGTGGGGGGTCAGAGGCGGCCGACAGCCGCAGGCAGGCCGCACGCACCACGGAGGAGGCAGACAGAGCCGGGCTCCCAGGTCCGACATGGCCCTGGGCTCTGATCTTGGCACAGACAGCCCTGCCCCACCCCGCTGTCCCCAGACTCTCAGAGAAGACGCTGCTGGTAGAGAAGCTCACCGAGCAAAACGCGAGCGAGAGAGCCATCTCTTCCCTGAGAACCGACGTGCAGAGACTGGTACGCGGCTGGGAGGGGGCGGCTGGCAGTCGGGGCCTGGGCCTCGCTGAGCAGCCCCCCACCCCCGTCCCCCCAGGAGTCCCAGCACAGCAGTGGAGGCCCGGCAGCCCCAGGGGACTCGAGAGCAGAGGTGGAGACCCTGCGGCTCCTCTTGGACAGCATCACACAGGTGCAGGCCCGGCTGGGTCCTTCCCACACGGGCAGCCAATGGGCCGCAGGGCCCCTGCAGTTCAGGCTGGCCTGGGAAATGGTCTGGAAGGACCCGTGTGACCTGAGCTCTGGGCTCTGTCCTCTCTGTGCCCTGAAGGTGGCCCAGGCAGATGCGGGGAGCGAGGAGCTGGTGAAGAGCAGCGGTGCTGAAGGCGAGGGAGTGCAGGGCCAACGGAGGAGCCCCCCTCATGCTGGGTCCCCCCTGACGGCTGAGTCCTTGCCCCCAGCCCGCTCCCCGGTCACCCTGGACTCAGCACTGTGGGCCGTGCGGACGGCTATTCAGAGGCGGCGGCAGCGGGAGCAGGTGGGCACAGGGCCTGCCAGGCTGAGAAGGGCCTCTATGGGCCTGCCCATGACCCTCAGGAGGCTGACCCCAGGAGGCTGACCCCCCCAGGTGCCTGGCCCTGCACTTCGGGTGGGTCTCTGGTCAGAACTTCGTCCTTTCTCTGGGAGTCCAGGGCCCTGGCTGGCTTCTGTGTTCAGAGGCCTGGCCCTGCCACAGGGGTTCACTGCACCCCTACTACCGGGCAGGAGCTGCACCAGCAGCTGGAGTCGGCCGAGGTGAGGGCCGCGGGGCTCCAGGAGCAGCTGTCTGAGAGCCAGAGGGAGCTGCAGGCCTCAAGAAGCCTCCTGCAGGAGGAGCGCCAGGACCTCCTGGGCAAGCTGGAGGCACAGAGCCGGGAGGCGCAGTGGAGCCGTGTGACCAGTGAGCTCCTGGGGAGGTGAGACCAGCGGGCAGGGCCACCTCCTCCATGAGGCCCTCCAGGAGAAAGAGCTGCTGGGGAGGTGAGGCGGGAGGGCAGGGCCACCTCCTCCATGAGGCCCTCCAGGAGAAAGAGCTGCTGGGGAGGTGAGGCAGGCGGGCAGGGCCACCTCCTCCATGAGGCCCTCCAGGAGCAGAAGTGAAAACCTCCAGATGGAAGCTGCCTCCCTCCCCTCTTTGCCGCCAAGCGCTGCCTGCACTGAGCACCCCTCCTCCCGCTCGGGCCCATCTGGGCCGTGGCCAGGACTCACCTTCCCAAAGCCCAGGCTGAGCACGAGCCCGGCCCCTCAGCCCTGCCTCCCAGACGCCCCTCCTGGGACCAGGCTGTATTCTGGCCCCGCTGCCCCATTCCCACTGCCGAGAGTCCTCTAGGGATCTGGGCCATCCCTTGCAGGTGGTCCACAGACCCCCAGTTCCCTGCCCGCCCTCCTGGCATGTCCCGTGGGTCTGGCGTCCCCTGGTGCACTTGGCCAGGAGGCTGTCTGGATGCTTCTGTGCACGTCTGACTGCCCCCGGGGCGGGTGGTGGTGAGGGGCAGGAAGAGAATCCCCAGCATCTGTAGTCCAGGGCTTCCCAGACCCACACGCTGCCTGAGCCGGAGCGTGGGGCAGGAGCGTGCTGGCAGCCCAGGAAGGCTTCCTGCAGGAGGGCGCCGTGAGGAGTGGACCGACAGCCTCCCATGCTTCCGCTCACTCACCCAGGGGTCGGGCCTACAGGCCCCTTGGGGCTACCCCTTCTCTGGAGGGCCTGACAGCGCACTCAGTGCTGGGACAGGAGGTCCAAGGGAAGATTAGACCCAGTCCTGCTCTCGAGAGGCACACAGGTGGTGGGCAGAGACGGGAGTGGGCAGGTTCGGCCTGGCAGGAATGGGGGAGCCCGCAAGGTCTCAGGAGGGACTTCCGGTAGGGGCTACAGGCAGAGGCGGGGTGTGGGTTGGGCAGGCGGGGCCACCTCAGCCTGCTGAGGCGCAGCGGTCACTGGGGCGAGGGCCATGGGGGGCTGTTCTCAGGGACACCGCCTTCCCACAAGTGGCCAGACCACAGCGTCCTGGGGACTGAGGGTGACAGGCCCAGTGGCCCCGTGACACAGGGGGATGAGAGGCTGAGTCAGGAGGCATTTGGGAAGTGGGGCCCCAGGACTTGGTGCTTCGGGGCCTGGTCAGGTGGGGAGCAGCTGAGATCCAGTCCTGGCTGGCGGGTGACCTGCAGAGGGGACCTCGGGGTCGGGTGTGGGTCAGCGGCATGCTCAGCTCTGACGAGGGTGCAGGTCTCTGGGGCCAGCCAGGAGATGTGGGGACCCCTGGCAGGCCGGGGTCCCCTCCTTCCCACAGGGTCTTGCAGGACTGTCTGAGCTTAGCCCACGGGTGCAGAGGCCCGAGCATAGGGATGCCCCGGGGTCAGGCCCTCTGGGGTTTACAGGCTCACGCAAGGCCCCCCACCCGGGAGCCACCCTGCCTGGACAGACCGGCTGGGGGTGGTCCGCACGTGTCCCTGAGCCCGGCCCCTAGTGGCCTCCGCGGCCCCCTTGCCCTGTTTGCCCCCCAGGCACTGGGCAGAGGCATGAACGTGCCCGGGACCCCCAGCCTCAGCCTCGCCTGCTTCCAGAGAGAAGGCGGCTCTCGAGGAGGCGGTTGAGGCGCTGAGGGGGGAGGCAGCCGTGTCCCATGCTGAGAAGCGAAGCCTGGAGGCCAGGAACATGGAGCTGCAGAGGAGCCTCCAGCGGTGTGCGGAGCAGAAGGAGGCGCTGGAGCAGCAGGGCGAGCGCAGCCGAAGGGCGCTGGAGAGCAGGTGGGCCACCCGGCCTCCAGCGGGCATCCCGGCCCCGGGCCCCGCATGCCCTGCCGCCCCGGGACTACATCTTCACCAGCCTCGTCAGGGGGTGCTAGTGAGACCGCAGGCCCCTCTCACACTGACCACCACCCACCACCACTCACACGCCCACCCCAAGTCCAGCCCAGTGCCAGCCCCCCCACCCCGGGCAAACCCACCCCAATACCCGGGCCCCACCGGGGTGGGCCGCAGCACGGGTGCCCTCTGCTGGCCCAGGCTGTCGCCCAGGTCCGAGCAGACACACCCACGCCCAGCTGGGCAGTGACTCCGGGCCTGCAGGGGACCCGTGCTCCTCTGGGGCCCCGCACCTTTGGGGGCAGCCGCGGGCAGTCACCCTGACTGCGGGCCCCACAAGTGGCCCGGCTCTCATCCTGAGGCAGCCTCACGCCCTCTGCCCTCTGTTTCCTGGTCTCAGTCAAGGGCGCCTGGAGCAGCTGGAGGGGACCGTCTCAGGGCTCAAGACGGAGCTGGTGTCGGCCCAGGAGGCGCTGGACTCAGCGCAGCTGCAGAGGGACGTCCTGGAGAGCGAGAGGGCGGGTCTGCATGGCGCCCTGGCCCGGGTGCGCCCCCGGCCGCCCCCCCTCACCCCTCTCCTGACCATCCCCCGGCCCCAAGCTCAGGGGTGTCCCCTGGTCCCAGCCTCGGAGTGGCCTCCTCAGTCCCCGACCAGTGTGCCCTGGCCCGTCCCCCCGAGCGCCGGCCACAGAGGCGCTCAGGGCCCCTCCCTCAGGCGCCCGCTCGCCTGCCCTGGCTGCAGCCTTGGACCCAGGGGCCACCGTCCACCCCCGGGGCCTCGCCACTGGGGGACCGCTTCCAGGCCCCCCCCGGAGCTCCAGCTTGCACACCTCCGTGACGCACGGCTCACTCCCCACCCCGTCGTGGCTCCCCCGAATCTAGAAGCCAGCTTCCCTGCTGGGTGACCTCTGCCCTCCCCACCCTAGGCCGAGGCCAGCAAAGCTGACCTGGAGCTGCTCGTGAGCCGGCTCAAGGCAGAGGGGGCGGAGCAGAGGGGCTCCCTGGCCAAGATGGCCGCTGTGACAGAGGCGCTGGCTCAGGACAAAGGCTCCCTGAACCACCTGGTCCTGCAGGTGAGACGAGGGCCCAGGGGGTCGGACCTCCCCCAAGTCCTGCTTCCCCAGAGCAGCTGTGGGCCCCGGTGCAGCCCCGGCCCCCCGAGCTCAGGGCTCCCCCTTTGTTCATCCTCCTCCCCGCCGTCTCCACTCCTGGACTTGGGGGCGAGGGTGCATGGGGCTTGGGTCTGCACACGGACCACGCCCTGTCCCCCCCTCTCCGGCAGCTGGAGCAGGAGCGGGACGAGCTGCGGGCGCAGCAGCAGACGCTGGCGCAGGGGCAGGCTGGCGCCCGGGAGCAGCTGGCGCAGGCGGAGTGGCAGGTGGAACTCCTGCGGGCTGAAAGGAGGGGCCTGCAGCAGGCCTGCGGGCGGCTGGAGGAGCGGCTGGAGCGGCTGGAGGGTCAGGCGGCCCGACTCCAGCGAGAACGGGCCCAGTTGCAGGCTCAGGTGGGCCAGGTGAGGGGGTAGTGGGGCTCCCAGTCCCCAGCAGCATCTGACAGGGCCGCCCCTGCCTCTGGGGTGGGCGGGCACGCACAGACACAGAAGCCACGCTGGCCCTCGGACGTCAGCCCCGGCACTTTCTAAGCTCAGGCTGCCCGACTTGGCTGATTTGAAGCCAGCTTTCCGGTGTGGGAGCTGGGGGACGGGGGAGCGGCACGCTAAAAAGACGTCTACATCCGGCCTGTCCCCAGCATCCAGGGGCTGGGTGCCCCCTGGTCAGAGGGTCGAAGGCCTCGGGCCCAGCGATACTCAGACACTCAAGGGAAATGCTCCCCTGCCCCTCTGTCATCTTGTCTGTCTTCTTCCTGGATCACATCCACACAACAGAGCTGCCCAGTCACACGCTCACAGCCGCATCCCTGCATCCATTCCCAAATCTGCCGACGTGGATCTCCATGGAGGAGGTCAGACTCCGTAGCACAAGACACTGCGGCACGTTTGCTTTCTCCTGACTCCAGCCGTGGTGGCCCACTTGGAAACTGGTCTCTGCAGAGCCTTGGACCCCCAGTGGTGCTCAGACTTCATGGCCTGTCACCTTCAGGGCTCAGGCTCGCCTCTTCCTGTTTCTCAGACTGTCCTGTCCTTTCCCTCTGTTTTGGGTGATGCATTGTTACATTCAGTAAAGCCAGCACACAGCTCAGTGGGTGCTGACAGTGGTGAGCCCTGGCGGGGACACCAGCGTGGTCAGGATGCAGAGTGTCTGCACCAGCCCAGCAGGCTCCCACGTGGCAAGGCCACCCAGGCGTCCTCTGCCCTGACCTGGGCCACCATGGACTGGCTTCACCAGCTTTAGATGTTGTCGCATAGGGAGTCATGGGGTGCAGACACTTTGGAGTCCAGCTTCTCACCCTCAGCATGACATCTTTGAGAGTCATCTCTGTGGTTCAGTTCAGTTCAGATCACATCAGTCGCTCAGTCGTGTCCGACTCTTTGTGACCCCATGAATGGCAGCACGCCAAGCCTCCCTGTCCATCACCAACTCCCGGAGTTTACTCAAACCATCGAGTCGGTGATGCCATCCAGCCATCTCATCCTCTGTCGTCCCCTTCTCCTCCTGCCCCCAATCCCTCCCAGCATCACAGTCTTTTCCAATGAGTCAACATGCGGTGGCCAAAGTATTAGAGTTTCAGCTTCAGCATCAGTCCTTCCAATGAACACCCAGGACTGATCTCCTTTAGGATGGACTGGTTGGATCTCCTTGCAGTCCAAGGGACTCTCAAGAGTCTTCTCCAACACCACAGTTCAAAAGCATCAATTCTTCAGTGCTCAGCTTTCTTCACAGTCCAACTCTCACATCCATACATGACCACTGGAAAAACCATAGCCTTGACTAGACGAACCTTTGTTGGCAAAGTAATGTCTCTGCTTTTTTATATGCTGTCTAGGTTGGTCATAACTTTCCTTCCAATGAGTAAGCATCTTTTCATTTCATGGCTGCAATCACCATCTGCAGTGATTTTGGAGCCCAAAAAAGGGGTGTCAAAAGCTCCTGCTTTTGACAGCATAGTACTATCCCGTCATATGGAAAAATTACATCTTTTTACCATTTACCCACTGCTGGATTTTTAGGTTGCTTCCAATTTGAAGGTGGACAAGACTGCTACAAGCATACATGTAGAAATCTCATACAGATATTCTCATTTCTCTTGAGTAAATACCTAAGAGTGAACTGTGGAGTCACTGGGTAGATGTTCTTGAACATTATAAGAAACTGCCAAGCAGTTTTCCCCAGTGGTTGTATCACTTCACTGGCCAGCAGTGTGGGAGGCTTCTGGCTGCTGCTCGGCCTGGTCAACACTTGGCATCATCCATCTTGCTACTCTCTGTGTGTGAAGTTATGTGCCTTTGTGGTTTTATTGGCCATTTTCTGATAGTAAAAGGCATTAAGCACATTTTCATATGATTATCAAATATTTGTATACCTTAACTTGTCGAGTGTCTGTTCAGGCCTACTGTCTACTTTTATTGGGTTTTCCCATTTTGGTTACGGGTTTCTAGTTCACATATCTTGGGTACAAACACTTTGTCAGACAGATGTTCTCACGTTTGTGTGATTTGTGTATACATTTTGTTGCCAGCATTTTTGATGGACAGAAAAGTTTAACTTTGGCAAAATTCAGTTTAGCAAATTTAAAAAAAAATTTTATGGTTAGTATTTTCTACGTGTTGTCTGAGAAATTTTTGCCCAGCCTGAGGACAAGACAGTATCCCAACGTGTTTTCCTCCAGTCCTTAGGTCTGTGATCCACTTAAAGCTGACTTTTCTGTAGAGCAGAGGTTCTCACAGTGTGTTCCCCAGGCCAGCAGCATCAGTCTCACTTGAGAACTTGCTTAAAATGCAGATTCTCAGCTGCCCTCCTGAAACCTACTGAATCTGAAACTCTATGGATGGGGCCAAATATCTGGATTTTAATCATCCCTCCTAGTGAGTCTGACACACACGAAGGTGTGGAAACTGTGAGTGTGTGGTATGGAATAGGAACTGGGGTCCACTATTGTTCACATTAATATCCAGTTGTTTCAGAACCAATTTTTAAAAGACTTTCCTTTCCTTCTGGGATGATCTTGGCAACAATAAATTGAGCCTACATGTGCATGTATGTTCCCAGATCATATTGTGATCTGTGCAAATTGATCTATTTGTTCATCCTTCCACCAAAATTGCACTGTCTTCATTACTGTAGCTTTCTAATATCTTGTAATGAAGTAATGTTGAGTATTCCCATCTAATCCTTCAAGATTGTTTGGTTATTTACACTTTAGAATCAGATTTGTCAATTTGCACACCCCAAAAAAACCTGGTAGAAACTTGACTGGGATTTTGTTGAATTTATAGATCAGTTTGAGAAGAATGGACGTCTTAACTGTATCCAGCTGTCTATCCGTGAACATGGTATATCTCTCCACTGGTTTCTTTACTTAATTCCTCTCAGTTGTGTTTTATAGTTTTCAGTGTAGAGGCTTTACACATCTTTGATTAAATTAATTCTTGGATTTGATATTATGCCTTGCTGTTACAATTTCATTTACCTATGTCCATTACTAGTATGTAGAAATATAATCTCATATATTAACTTTTGATCGTGCAACCCTGACAAATAGACTGATAAGCACCAGGATTTTACATGTACATTATCATGTCATCTGTTAATAACAATGGTTTTACCTCATTTCTGATCTCAGTGACTTTCATCTCCTCTTAATTCACTGGCTAAAGACCTACAGAACAAATTTGAAAAAAAGTAATGAAAGTGGCCATCTTTCTGTTAATACCAAACCCAACTGCGGGGAAAGAATTTCACTGTCAAGTATGATGCGATCTAGAGGTTTTTCATAGATGCCTCTTATCTGATTGAGGAAGTTATCTTTTATTCCTAGCATGCTGAGATTTTTTTAAAATTATGAATGGGCTTTGAATTCCATTAAATGTGTTCCCTGACTCTATTAAGATGATCATGTTGCTGTTCTTATTCCGTTAAGCATCCAGTTCTATTGTGAAACTCTACATTTTGCCTTCCATCTTCTTGAACATATTAATCACAGCTCTTTTAAAGTCTGTGTTTGATAACTTCAATATCCGGATAGCCAGATGGGCAGGGAGGCATGTGTGTATATTTTAAATTCTTACATGTGGTTTTTTGCCATGTGATTCTACCTCTAACATGCCTGGTTGTGTTGAATAAAAGCCAAGTATTAAATATAAAAAAAATGTAGAAATAATTTGAGGATCTCGATGATGCTGTTCTTCTAGGGAGAAATCACTTTTGGTTCTGGCAGGCAGTGGGGGTAGATCACTTTAATCCATGACTGGGATGATTGAAATCCGATCTTCATGTTTTGGAAAGTTAGAAGAGTGAAAGTGTTAGTGGCTCGGTCTTGTCTGACTGTTTGCAACCCTATGGATTGCAGCCTGCCAGGCCCCTCTGTCCATGGGATTCTCCAGGCAAGGATACTGGAGTGGGTAATCGTTCCCTTCTCCAGGGGACTTTCCCAACCTAGGGATGGAACCCGGGTCTCCTGCATTGCAGGCAGATTCTTTACCATCCTGAGCCACCAGGGAAGCCAGGTTTGGGGGGACTGTCTATTCCGCTTCACCACCACTATAAGGGTGAACCCCTCCTATGATTACAACTGGAAACCTAGGATGTTTATCAGGACCCTCTGCTCTGAGGTCTGTAAGCTCACGTTCTTATACTCCTAAAGACACAGGACTGCTGGAAGCTCTCCCTGGGCTTCTCAGCTCCTCAGTCCAGACTTAAACAAGCACATGCTCCAAGGAGAGCAGAGATGCTGGGTGGTGGCCTCACTCCTCTGCCTCCCTTTCCTCTGAGATTTTGGCTCCTTCAGCCTCAGCTGAGGCCCTATACGGACTCCTGTGATAGATTTTGTCCAGATTTTTGTGATGTTCTTGGTGGAGGTGTTAGTCTGCAACAATCTGGTCTTCTGTCACCTTCTTCGCATTTCTGTGCAATGTCTCCCAACCCTGGAAACTTGTGGCCCAACAAAGGTTACTGTTTAGATTGACAGCTGGATCCCGCCTGGTGGTGCTCAATCCAATAATTTCTCCACCATGGTTTCAGGACTGGAGGCCCCTCTGCTGTGAAAACACATGTGCACCAGGGGTCCTCTGCGTCTCCTGGCCACAGTTCTCCTCCACTCTTTCCTCCACTGCTGTTCTGAAGGAAACCACTTTTTCTGAAGTCCTCCTTTTCCCTCTAGAGGCCCCTCGTAACCCTCCCACTCTCTCTACTGGACTTTCCCCTCCTCCTCCTCTAGGTCACATGCAAGAAACAGGCCCTGGAGAAGCAGCTGGCCCAGCGCCTGCAGGACCAGGAGGCCCAGATGGCCGCTCTCCAGAGGGCCCTGCAGGAGAAGGAGGCTTTGTCTGAAGAGCGAGTCCAGCTGCTGGCCAAGCAGGAAGCCCTGGAGAAGCAAGGTCAGCTCATGGCCGAGGAGGCAGCCGATCTCAGGTACCTGGGGACCCACCGGCAAGTGTTCATGTGGCCTTGACCTCCAGGAGCCACAGTGTAGTGTAGACGGGCATGCAGTGAATGTGGGGCAGGGCAAGTGTGTGTACATGGCAGAGAGGCTATAAGTGAGGGGCACACGCAGTGCCTGTGGGCTCAAGGAGTGCCTGGAAGAGGTAAACGTGCCTAGGACAGCCTTCCTGAGAGAGGGGGCTGCACTGGTCAGGTGGCAGGCAGCAGAAACCCATCTCAGGCCAGCAGAAAGATGTGGAAAGTCTTGCTCACAGATCTGAGCAGTACCAGGTACATACCGCTTCAGGCAAGGCTGGATCCAGGTGCTCCCAAGGTACCCTCAACTCCCTGCCTCTCCCCTGTCATTCTTGGGCAGGCTCAAGGTGAAAGCTGGCAAGATGGCCAGCAGACACAGAGCACCCTTTGCCCCATGAGTCCTGAGAGCCTCTTCCCACAGCCATCTTGAACCATTCTATGTCCTTGAATGGATCCTGGGAGCCACAGGGCACAGATGGGCAGACTGGGGCCCTATGCTTATTCCTGGAGCCTGGGTGGTGGCAGCCCCAGGGAACCATGAGGCTGAGGGGGCAGGGTAAACCCTTAAACCATCGGGGCCACTTCCAGGAGAGCTGGGGCAGACACTCGTAGGCAAGAAGGGGTGCCCTGCAGACGGTTGCCTGGTGAGCTGAGCTGGCCTGTGACCTCTGAGGACATCCAGAGGCTCATGGCTTTCTGCACGTTGCACCCATCTCAGGAACATCCAAGTGTTTTTATAGAAAGAGTTCCTCCCAGAATTCCAGAACTAGAGGCCATGAGGAAATTTAGAGATCAGGATCCTTGAACTTTGTCACGGAAGAAAAAGGGAAGGAAAGAGGGAAGACTCCCCTCCCAATGAATGTGTGGGCACAGACTGCAGCAGGAAGCCCGAGGAGGTCTCTGTGGGTGGGCAAAAGCAGAGGGTCCCAGGCTCCGCCCCTGGACCCCTCCCACGCCCCGGCACTCTGAGGGCGGGGGGGTCGGGCGCCTCTTTCCTCCTGCCATCATTTGCTGCCCAGCCCACAGGACCTGGTCAGAGGACCCTCCCCTGACTCACCTGCGACCACTGGGCCCAGGGTCTCTGCACACAGTGGTCCTGCAGACCCCAGAAAGAGTCACACACCCACTAAACAGTGTTTCCCAGTGACCAGTCTGAGCTTCTGCTGACAAGGTGCTTGGGACAAGACTTGCTTCTCCTAATGAGTGAGGACCCTGGGTTTTGAGGTCGTCTGGCCCCCAGTCCCAGGCCCTGACAAGGCTGCAGCACCAGGGACCCCTCTTAGTTCTCAGGCTTCAGCAAGATGGACTGAGTCCATTGCATCAGTGCAGGACACAGCACATACCATTAATATGAATGCGTGCTCACTGTCTGGCTGGTGACTGACGGACTTGCTGCTGGAGAGGCAGGTCCCGCCATCACCCTCCCTCAGAAGCGGGAGCTGCTGAGTCGCCCTGTCCATCCCAGGCATTTTCTGACTGGCCGTGTCTGCCCAGACGCAGAGGCAGCTTCTCCATGCCGGGGATGGTGCTGTGCGTGTTCTGCACTGGAGGCTGCTCCTCAGAGAGGGCACAGTTTCCTCTTCGTCGTTAGCAGCGGACGAGACGCACTGTGGTTTCTGAAACATTCTCGCATTGAATGGCATGGATGCTGAGTCAGATTCAGGCCCTATCTGAGGCTAGGGGGAGTGTCCTGTACTGAGTCACTGGTTCACGTGTGTTTCTAAAGCGCTGACCCCTAGAACTGGAATTGCTGGCCCAAACAAAATCTTTGCACAGTTTATATTTTAAAATTTCCTAGTCCCCCTCTGCCACAGTGGGCCTTGCACCCCTGCCAACAAGAGATATGATGACTACTTTCAGCTTTGCTAACGTGATGCATGATGGATGAAACAGCACAGATAAGATCTGAACCCCCTTGAGGACTAGTGAGTTTCATATGTTTATTCACCATTCTTGTTTTCTTTGTGAATAACAGCCATTGTTCTCATTTTTCTGTCAGATAAGCCACTTTCTGTCATTGATTGGTAGGAGCTCTTTTTATATGATGGATATTAACCATAATATATTTAGTGCAAATATTGTCTCCAAGTCTGTCCCCCATCTTTTGCCTTGATTTGTGGAATCTTTTCTGCACAGAACTCTGTCTCCCTCTCTTTAAATGTATTCAGAACTGTTGGCTTCCTTATTTTTGTCTTCTGACTTTTGTGTCCTGCTTCAGATTATAAAGTATCCTTCTGTACTTTCTTCTATGGTTTTCACAGTTCTGAGTTGCTTAGTTGTTATCTATTTTGGTTTTGTATTTAGCTTTTTAATCCACTTGGAATGTTTTCTGTGTGGGCTCCAATCTGTTCTTAGAGATTTAAAATGAACGAGGCATCCTCGGTCTGCCTTCTGATTGACGGCCCGGCCTTGGAGGACACCATCCCAGCAAATGGGCTCCACGCTGCCTCGTCCAGCAGGGTCCTCTGCCGGCGTGGGTGACTCGCCTGTGGTGTGATGACTCTCCGCAGGGCCGAGAGGGACGCCCTGGAAAGCAGCCTCTTTGAGGCCCAACAGCTGGCAACACAGCTGCAGGCCCAGCAGGAGCAGCTGGAGGGAGAGGCCCGGAGCGCACGGCTGGCCCGGCAGGCCCTGCAAGGTGCTGCCCTGATGCTCCCTCTGCTCCCCCTTCCCTGAGCTTGTCCCCCCGTGGGCGGCTCCCACTCACTGCACCCCAACGGGGCCAAACACGGCAGGGAGCTCACGTCTAAAGTCAGCCGAGAGCCCCTGCCGCTGCTGTCTGCAACTGGCGGGCGCCCACCGGGCCTGCTGCTGGCCCAAGGCTCGGGATGGGCTCTGTCCCAAGGCCCATGTGGCAGCCGCTGCCCACCCCCCTGTGCCCCTGCCTCTGCTCAGCCCACCCCAGCCGAGCGGGCTGCCATCAAGACATGCTCCTGCTGAGCGGTCGGGGGGCTCTGTCCCACCGGCTTGCAGCCTCCCCAGAGCCAGGGGCCCACGGGCGGCAGGGTGCTGCGGGGCCGGGCCTCCCCGCGGGTCTGGACGTGCCTGTCCCTTGGCAGGGGAACTGGAGCAGCTACAGAGTGCCTGGGAGGCTCAGGAGACGAGGCTGCGGCAGCAGGTGGCGCAGCGGGAGCGGGACGTGCAGCTGGCCCTGGAGAGCCGGGCGCTGGCCCACCGCGAGGACCTCGCGCGGCTCCAGAGGGAGAAGGTCTGCCTTCCCGGGACCCCTGCCCCCAGCTGCCTGGTCACTGCCCAGGCACGTGTCCCTGCTGTGTCCTCAGAGGCGGCGAGCCCAGGAGACCAGCGGGTGGCAGGTGGGCCGGGCCACCCTGGGGCTGGGCGGGAGGACCGCTCACGGCCCTCACAGAGGAGGCTCCCCAGGGTGCCAGCTGACCTGCCACGGTCCGAGGCCCGTATTCACAGGAAGCTCCGTGCCATCAGAGCCGTCCACTGGTCCCAGGCCGGCAGGCCCCGAGTGACATGTCCTCACACACCCTGGCGTCAGGGTGCCTGGTGCTCTGAGCTCAGGAACGGCTTCTGAGCTGTGACTGGACCACGGGGTGGCGGGTGCTGAGGCTCAGAGCCCCCACAGCTCCTGTCACTGCGGGAGACGGGGCCTGCGGCCGGCTGGCCTGGACGCCCCCCGGGCAGCTGCCCCGCCCCGGCGTCCACGGACCTGCTCTCACTCAGGAGCGCAGATGCCTGCTGCTCTCACAAGCTCTGACCTGTGTGTCTTCACACCTGCCCCCTCCTTTGGCCCAGGAGACCCTGAGTCTGTCTCTGATGGAAGAAAAGGAAGCAGCGGCATGCCGGCTGAAACGGGAGAAGGAGCTAGTGGCGAAGAATGCAACCAGGAGGGAGGCGCTGAAGGAGGAAATTCAGAGCCTAAGGCGTGAGCGAGACGAGCGTCTCCTTCAGCTGGAGAATGAGAAGCAGCAGGTGACGGGGCGACCATGGGGCGGGGGGCCCCCGTCCACTCGCTGTGCCTGCTCCGACCCAGTAAGAGGGCTGTGTGGGCCGCTGTGTGAGTCACTGTAATTGCAGCTCTGATCTCCCACCGCAGTCCTGGTGGACATTCACCCTCCTCTCAGTCCCTCCATCCATCTGTCCACCCACCCAACCATCTGTCCATCCAGCTACCTGTCCAGCCATCGTCTATGAATCCACCTGTCTATCCAGACATTCACCCACCCACACACCCATCCACCCATTCATCCATCTGCCCATTAGTCCACCTGCCCACTTATAAATATATACACATATATTTATACAGATTATAAAAGGTCAAGTTTCATTCCAATCCCAAAGAAGGACACTGCCAAAGAATGTGCAAACTACCTCACAATTGTACTCATTTCACATTCTCACCAGATAATGCTCAAAATCCTTCAAGCTGGGCTTCAACAGTACGTGAACCAAGAACTTGCAGATGTACAAGTTGCATTTAGGAAAGGCAGAGGAACCAGAGATCAGATTGCCAACATCCACTGGATCATAGAAAATGCAAGAGAGTTCCAGAAAAACATCTACTTCTGCTCCATTGACTATGCTAAAGCCTTTGACTGCAGATCACAACCACTGTAGAAAATTCTTCAACAGATGGGAATACCAGGCCACCTTACCTGCCTCATAAGAAACCTGTATGCTGGTCAAGAAGCAACAGTTCGAACCAGACATGGAACAACAGACTGGGTCAAAATTGGGAAAGGAGTATGTCAAGGGTGTATATTGTCATCCAGCTTATTTAATTTATATGCAGAGTACATCATGAGAAACATAGGCTGGATGAAGCACAAGCTGCGATCAAGATTGCTGGGAGAAATATAAAAAATCTCAGATATACAAATGATACCACGCTTAAGGCAGAAAGTGAAGAGGAACTAAAGAGCCTTTTGATACAGGTGAAAGAAGAGCATGAAGAAGTTGGCTTAAACCTCAACATTCAAAAAATGAAGATCATGGCGTCTGGTCCCATCACTTCATGGCAAATAGATGGAGAAAAACTGGAAACAGTGACAGACTTTATTTTCTTGGGCTGCAAAACCACTGCAGATGATGACTGCAGCCGTGAAATTCAAAGGTGCTTGCTCCTTGGAAGAAAAGTTATGATGAACCTAGACAGCATATTAAAAAGCAGAGACATTACTTTGGTGACAAAAATCCATCTAGCCAAAGCTATGGTTTTTCCAGAAGTCATGCTTGGATGTGAGAGTTGGACCATGAGGAAGGTTGAGAGCTAAAGAATTGCTGCTTTTGAGCTGCGGTGTTGGAGAAGACTCTGGAGAGTCTCTTGGACTGCAAGGAGATCCACCCAGTCCATCCTAAAGGAAATCAACCCTGGATATTCATTGGAAGGACTGATACTGAAGCTGAAGTTCCAGTATTTTGGCCACTTGATGCAAAGAGCCAACTCATTGGAAAAGACCCTGATTCTGGGAAAGGTTGAAGGCAGGGGCAGAAGAGGGCAACAGAGGATGAGATGGTTGGATGGCATCACCCACTCAATGGACATGAGTTGAGCAAACTCCAGGAGACAGTGAATGACAGGACAGCCTGGCAGGCTACAGTTCATGGGGTCGCAAGGAGCCGGACACAACTTAGTGACTGAACAACAACAGCATTTACACATCTATGCACATGCACTGTGTTTCCATTCACACATCCATGTCCATGCCACACATCCATGTTGTCCATCATCCATCTATCCACCTGAATGTTCATCCTTTATTCACATACCCAGCTATCTACCCACATATCTGGTCATCTATCAACATAGCCAATTGTCTATCCACACACTTGACCATAAATCTATCCATCAATTTGCTTAAATACCCATCTAGCTATCCACGCACATGACCATCAGGACTATCCATCCGCTCATTCAGCCACCCATGTACTCACTCAACTACTCATCTATCAGTCACTTGCAGACCCTTCCCTCTGTCCACACACTCAGCTGCCCATCCACATTCATGCACTGTCCATCCGTGCATCTGGTTATCCTTCCATCCATCTGATCAGCCAGCCAGTCATCTGTCAGTGTGTTCCCCCATCAGCCAACCATCCAAACAGCCTCTAACCAGACACTGGGCACATGAAAGCTACCCACTGAGACCAGGCTCTTCCAGTATTCCATGCCATCCAGAAGCACGCGCTGCTGAGTGGGTGGAATAGACAAGTGAATACCTACGTGTGGGTTATCGCACTGTGACAGGCCTCTCAGGTGTTAGTACAAAGTACAAACTGCGATGGGAGAGTCACAGTGGCAGGAATAACCAAGGGTTACTGTCAGACTCTTCTGCATGGCTGGTTTCATCCTCACAACACTGTGAGGGACACCTTCTTTACAGGGCCCCCTTGACTGGTGGGAGACAGATTTGCAGATGGTGAATAACTTGCCCGGAGTGGCTCCGTGCACCTGCTGGGCACCAAGGCCAGCGTCCTCCGCTGTTCCACTCTCCTGCATCCTGGGAGGGAGGAAGCAAGGGTTTGCTGGGTGGCAGCATGTCAAGGGTGAGGGGTAAAGGAGGACCTGGAGGCATCCTACGAACGTCCAGGGATGGTGTGAGATCCTGGGCAAACTCCTCAGCTTCCGCTGCCCCCGAGTGGCCTGTGGAACTCCAGGAAGCACGACTCTTGCCGTTACGGTTTTGCTGTAAAAGTCACAGGTCAGGACAAGTCTGGTGGAGAGACCCAGGGAAGGGCCGTCTCTCCGCAGAGTCAGCGCAGGTCACCCGCTGGCAGATCAGGGTGTTTAACCCGGCAAGTTCAGGGTTCTGTTGGGGTTGCTTTGCCTGCGTGTGATCAGCTATACCCGGGGCCCAGCTTCCTCCTGAGCTGGGCGGTGGGGTAGGGGTGCCTCTCTGCACGCCCCCCATCACCTTGTGAGCACAAGCTCAGGTGTGGTCTCAGGGTGGGCGCATAACGGACACCCCTCCCTCGGGATGCTTCAGGGGTTTCCAGGCTCCCCTGGGACCCGGGGCCAAAGGCAGACACATTCTTTGTTACAAAAGCTCCTCCGGGAGATGGCTGTGCGCAGACCGGCATGTGGGCATCGACACCGCCGTGCCCGCCTCTGTGGCACAGGCAGCACCCCAGGCCTTTCTCTTGGCAGGACTGCCAACCAGACGGGTCCTTCCACACTGAGCTCTGGGCCTCATGGTCCTTTTTTTTTTTAAACACTAAAAGCACTTTGCATTGGGATGTAGCTGATTAACAGTGTTGTAGTTTCCAGTGAGTAGCACAGGGACTCAGTCATACATATACATGTATCCATACTCCCCCAGACCCCCTCCCACTGGATGGACCTTTTCCACAGCTGACGTCACCCCGGGGGGCACAGGGGTCCCCCCTTCCATCTGCTGGCCTCCCCCTGATGGGAGTTCTGCGGCTATTATCACTAATGCTAGAAATAATCATTGGAGACCCCGGAAGCAGGGCATCCCACCCACGATCATACACGCACACCTCCAGGCTGCCCTCCTGTGCCATCCTGAAGCATGCACTGTTGAGTGACTGGAACAGATAAGTAAACAGCTACATGTGGGTTATCGCACTGTGACAGGACTCTCAGGGGTCTCCATGGGTCTGGTGTTGGGGGAGGCATGTCTGTGAGCCACTCCGAGTGTCCCCTCCCGCCTGGCGACAGAGCAGGGCCCTCCCTGCTGGCCCCATTGGGGCCAATGGGTGTGACGCGACACCCCCGGGGTCCCTTGCACACCCCTCACCTTCAGCGACACAGAGCGTTTGGGGAGGTCAAGACCTGTCCGTGGTTCCTGCTCTGTGCCAGGGGTGGGTGGGGGGCTCCAGGGAGGAGGTAGTCCATGAAGCCCCCTGACCTATGCTGGGGAAGAGCAGGTACTGGGCAGGTGACAGTGGGGTGGGCACCCTGGGCGGGGACGGGAGCGGGGAGCAGGCGGGACCCGCCTCCTCGGGACTCAGCTGCCTCCTCGGGGCTCCCTGCTCCTAGAGCCCGTTGTCCTGGTGTCGGGGCCGTGACTCCCAGAGCCCTGCTGAACCTCTCGTCAGAGCCCCCAGCCTGCTCAGGAGTGCCCCCCCCCCCCNCCCCCCCCCGTCACGCAGGCCCTGCTTGTGCGGGATGCGGAGCTGAGCCGGCTGCGGGGGGAGCTGCAGCTGGTGCGGCAGGAGGCCCAGGGCCAGCAGGAACGAGCCGAGGTGAGCCCCTCCCGGCCAGAGCCGGACGCCTGGACTGGCTGCCCGCACGGCCCAGCAGGCGCAGCGGACCCCAGAGGCACCCCCTCCCTGCCTTACCCCCCCGTCACGCAGGCCCTGCTTGTGCGGGACGCGGAGCTGAGCCGGCTGCGGGGGGAGCTGCAGCTGGTGCAGCAGGAGGCCCAGGGCCAGCAGGAACGAGCCGAGGTGAGCCCCTCCCGGCCAGAGCCGGACGCCTGGACTAGCTGCCCGCACAGCCCAGCAGGCGCAGCGGACCCCAGAGGCACCCCCTCCCTGCCTTACCCCGGGGGGGTCTCCCCTCCACCCCACTGCAGCCGCCTGAACCTCAGTTTCCCCCAGATGACTCCAGCTCCCTGCTGGGGGGAGAGTGTCTCCATGGGACGAAAAGGTGACGGAGCCGGACGCCTGGACTGGCTGCCCGCACGGCCCAGCAGGCGCAGCGGACCCCAGAGGCACCCCCTCCCTGCCTTACCCCGGGGGGGTCTCCCCTCCACCCCACCGCAGCCGCCTGAACCTCAGTTTCCCCCAGATGACTCCAGCTCCCTGCTGGGGGGAGAGTGTCTCCATGGGACGAAAAGGTGACGGAGCAGGATGGGGGGGTGCCAAGGAGGGGAGGATGGGCAGGCCACACGCCCTTGCAGAAGCCACAGAGGGGAGGACCTGGCACCAGTAACAAGAGGGGACAGAGCCCAGGTCTGCACCGCCAGCCCTCCAGCATGGTGAGACGCAGCTGCCGGAGGCTCAGAGGCCTCGGCTGACTCTCTGGGGAGTCCCCTCCCCGAGGAGAAGCGCAGCTGGGGAGCCCACGTTGGACCTGAGGCAGAGACTGCCCGGAAAAGACCCGGCGGAGAATTTTGAGCAGGGCAGGAGGGGGGCATCCAAGGGGCCAGGAGACCCCAGCAGGCCATGCCCGCCTGGGCCAGTGAACGAAGGCCCACAGGGCATGGAGGCCACTGCGGGCGGCCAGCTGGCCACCTGGGGCCCCAGCTCCTCCTCAGGAGCCCACATCTGGGGGCAGGGCAGGCAACAGCAACCAAGACTCTGGGGAGTGAGGTGGGCCCCTGGGCCCTATGCCCCCAGCCTGCGGGCCCATTTATGGAGTGTGGGTGCCACTCTGGAGGGGGGCAGAGCCGGGTGGCAGGACGCAGGGGAGGGCTCGGGGCAGCTGGTGCAGTCAGGCAGGACCCCAGGGGGCTGGCGGGGAACAGACAGGAGGGGTGGGGGTGACGGTTCAGGACAGGGTTCAGGTTGGGGGTAGGCCCAGACCCCTGCAGGGGGCAGGGCTGGTCAGGGTGAGGCCCCCCGGCTGCCCAATGCCCTCAGCGCCCTCACTTGGCACAGCCGGGCTGGCGCCCTGTCCCCTCTGCTCCTGCATCTGTCCTGGCTGGGCCACCTGCCCGCCCCACTGGTGCCCGGCGTGCCCCTAGCCCCAGGGGTGCAGGCTTAGATGGTCCCCTGTTGGTGAACGACTCAGGGAATCCGAGAACGAGTGAGCGGACCGCACGAGGACTGCAGGGTTAGGCCCAGAGCTGACCCCGAGAGCAGGCCCGTGCTCAGGGCCTGCTCATGAGAGGCCGAGTGGGCATACCTCCGGACCGAGGGCTGGCCACCAGACCACAGGACCTGGAGAGGCCATGCAGTTTGCACCAACCTACCAGACAGCGGGCGGAGGGGTGCTGGGCAGGGGGAGGGGCACTGGGTGGGGGTGCTGAGTGGGGGAGGGGCACTGAGTGGGGGAGGGGCGCTGGNAACCCACTGGGGGGGGAGGGTGGAAAGAAGAGCAGCCAAGGAACACCAGTTGTGGGTGACCTGCGAGCAGTCCCCCACGAGTGGAGGGGCTCCCGGCCCCGCCCTGTGGCCCATCACTGCAGGGGCCACCCCTGCCCGCCAGGCAACACCATGCCCTCGCTGCAGCCTCCCTGGGGCCACCTTGGGGGCACCGCCAGACCTGACGGCCCAAGGCGCACTTGTCAGGGCAGAGGGGCAGCTGGGGGTACAGGCGGCACCCGCGCGGCTCCTTCCCCGAGGGCGGGGGCACAGCCTGATGGAGCGTCCCCCGCCAGAGCCCTCGGGCAGCGGCCTGCAGATCCAGGGGTCCTGGGTCCCCGAGCCCCAGTGTTGGCGGCAGCAGGGCCCCGGGCGGGGGAGGCTGGGCTGGGCCGGGGCTCAGGGCGAGCAGGCGGTGTCCAGTGCACGACAGTAGGGGCTTCGAGCAGTGGGGCGCTGCTGCTCCGGGGGCCCCTTGGTCAGCAGAGGGAGCGCCCTGGACTGGGACCACGGGAGAGCAGAGTCAGGCCAAGCTGGGTCCTTCCCAAAGGGTGTCCAAGCTCGGGGCCCGGCCACGGGGTCTGGACCAGGACGACCCTGCCCGAGGGCTGCAGGCAGAGCCCCCGACCCCTCCCAGGCGTGTGGTGGGTGCTCACTCACTTAGAGCCGGGGAGGCTCTGGGTGTCCCCTGTGCCATGGCCTGGTTGGAAGTTCGGGAGCGGCCAGCTCTTCCCTGGGAAGCTCCCCGTGGGGCCTCTGTCCCCTGCGCCCCAGCACCCTTCACCGCTGTGACCCCTCAGGACCCAGCACCCGGTCAGCTGGAGTGACAGGCCTGCCTCTCGGGGCCTGAGTGAGCCATCCAGCTGGCCCAGGACGGCATGCAGCTGCCCACGGGGGACCGAGCAGACGGCCCGCTACCCCCACCTGGGGTGGCCCCTTGACCCCTCACCGCTTGCTGCGCCCCCAGGCCACCGTCAGCACCGTGACCGCAGAGCTGAAGGCCCTGCAGGCCCAGTTTGAAGACTCCATCTCTGCCCACCAGACGGAGGCCAGGGTCCTGCGTGAGACACTCCGGGCGCAGGTGGCCCAGCGGAGCAGTGCGGGGAGAGAGGTGAGGGGCAGCACCGGGGCTCCCAGGGGCAGGCAGGGACCCCAGCCAGGTGCCGCCGTCCAACCAGCAATGGGGAGAGCCTGCGCGAGACGGCACTGCCCACCCCGCACGCGGCCCCGGGGTCAGGGTTAGAGGTGTGCTTGGGGGCAGCCGTGTACGGGCCCGCCAAGGCCCTGAGGCCAGCTCCGGGCTCCAGAAGCCGGGCGAGGTGTCCTGGGGGGGCCCAGCCAGGAGAGGCCCCAGGCAGGCGAGCAGGCGGGTGAGTGGGCTCAGCAGGCAGAGCAGGGAGGTGTTGACGAAGGGGCTCTGACAGGCCTGGGGACGCCTGGAGGGGGGAGGGCAGGAGGGCACGGGGCGGGGAGGGGCCATGGGGCCCGCGACCTCGTGCACTCCCGGGCCGGGTGCCAAGGCTGGCAGGGGCGCAGCGAGCGCAGAGAGGGGCTGGGCCCACCCCCAGCACCCCGAGTGGGGCCGCCAGAGGAAGAGAGTGTGATTTAACATGACAGCCTGTTTACTTTGGCCCCAAAGAGAAAGGTCTCTTTTCAACAGATTTCGAAGTCAGGCCTGGTCAGCGACCACACGGGGAAGCAGAGTGAGGCTTTAACACGGGGGGCAGCAGGGGGAGGAGCCGGGGAGGCTGGGCACGTCGTGCTGGGGGTAAAGGGGGAGAACACAGCCTCGTGGGAAGTTCGGGTTCCCTGATCGCCGCCCCCAGAAAGGAGAGGGGCCCCAGGAAGGGGCCGGGGTGATGGGGAGGCTGAAGCGGGTAAGGGGAGCAAGGGGAACAATGGCAGAGAGAGGGAGCCTGGGGAGCCCTCCCAGGCGCCAGGCTGGCCCAGAGTCACCATGGAAACCATAACATTTCACAGCCTTTAAACTGGAGGGACATCCAGCCCTCTGGCAGCCCTGCCTGAGGTCCACACGTGTGTGCATGTGTACATGTGTGTGTGCGTATGTGTGTGCATGCACGTGTGCATGCTTGTGTGTGTGTGCATGCACCACCACACAGCTCATATGCAGTGCACACACCTCCATGCATGTAAAGACCACGCTCCCATGCAGAGGAACAGTGACAGCACACACACATGCACTCACATATGCAAACACATGTGGACACCACACGTGCAGCAAGCAGCACACACGACTCCATGCACACTTGCATGCATATGCATCACGCATGTGGGTGAACATGAGCACACATGTGGGTGAACATGAGCACGCATGTCTGCACATGGATGTGTGTGGATGCACACACCACACGCTTGCACATGCTACGTGCATACATGCACGTGTACTCACACGCAGGCCCGGGGCCCACACGGCCCCTCCCCTGCTTTCCCGACTCCATGCGGAGCCCTCGGGTCACCTCCCCGCAGGAGATTTCAAAAGAGGCTGTTTATACAATTTCTAGTAAAGAAATAATTATTATAATCACATTAAGCGATTTGGCTGTAAAATTCCTGTAAAAGGGATGGTTGTTCTCACGAGGCGGGGGGAGGGGGGTCCCCTGCGTTTGTTTTGCTTGTTTTCATCTCCTCAGCCCTGGGAAATGAAAACAGCTTTTTATGATGGATAGGCCCTCTCGCTGGTCCTTGACCTTCAGGGTGGATTTCTGCTGAGCTCGGCGGAAAACGCTGCTCACGGTTGTGGCTCCCACATGTGGGGGGTGGGAGGGGAGCGGAGAGCGGCCCTTCCCAAAAACAGAACAACAAGAACCATGGGCGGACGCGGGAGCCACGGCCAGAGACCCAGAGAGTGCCCCACTGCAGCAGCCAGAGTGGGACTCGCTTCTGGCAAGCCAGCGCCGGACGCCACTCAGTTCGTGTGGTTCCCCTAGAGGCCTCCTCCATCTCTTCCTGCAGGGGCTGAGGGACATGCCTTCTCCAGGGTTCCCTGGTCAGAGGGGAGACCCGAGGTCCTGGCTGAGCCTCGGCGAGCCCCCACCCCATAGTCCCTGCATCCAGGAAGGTCTGCCCCTTCCCGGGGTCTGCACTGCCCTCCAGCGCCCCCCAGCAAGGGCTGAGCCCAGGGTTCTGCAGGCAACCTGTGTCCCAGGGCAGTTAGGGCCGCTGACACCCACCCATGGTTCAGCTGAGCTCTCAGACTCCCAAAACCACTAACTCCCCAGGCCCTGCCTGGAAGCTGTGGGTGAGGAGGCCCCGGTTATGAGGTGACACAGACACCAGACCCAGCGTGGCGGGGGACCTCCTCTGGGGCCAGCACAGGTCTGGCAGGGGACAAGGGCACACCTGCCCCATACCCCCGCCTGGCTCGGCGCACAGAGGCCCAGAGCAGCCTGAGGTCCCCACCTGCTCCACAGTCTTCCCTGGGGTTGAGGCCCTCCACGCCGGGGCAGGCCCCGACACCTGCTCCTGTGACGGCAACAGCCTGGCCCTGGCGGCTCTGCCGCAGCCGGAGGATCGTCAGGGAGCCTGCCCGAGACAGCCCTCCCCGCGCCCGTCCTTCCAGAGTCCTGTCTCTCCACAGTCCTGTCCCTCCACTCCCCCTTCACCAAGTGGGAGCTGAGGCCGCAGGCAGGGGGCAGCGTTCCGGGGCCCAGGGCACGAGGCGTCTGTCCGCACTGGGGCGGGCAGGCTAGGGCCCCACATCCTCACTGAAGGACAACAGGTGGGGACAGTGTAGCCAGTGGGCAGATCTATGTCCCTCACAGGCCCTGCTGACCAGTGACCAGGTCCCAGGCGTGCGGGGAGGGAGCCCAGTGTCACTCCAGGGTCAGAAAGGGTCGGGGTGTTCTCTGCCAGGGTCATGGATGGGCCCCAGGAGCCGCCCTGCAGCCTCACTGGGCTGGGCAAAGCCAGGCCTCCTGCTTCTCCTTCAAGGCTGGAGGACCCGAGGCTGAGGACACTGCTGTGGCTGGAGCCCGGCCCGTGGCCCTCCGCCGCCCCTAGAGCCACCCGCTCCCCCTCAGGCCGAGACTCTGCGGGTGCAACTGGACAAGGCCCGCGAGGTGCTGGCTGCGCTGCGCCGGGAGCTGCAGGGCAGTGAGGAGGCCCGGGAGGGGTTGCAAAGGGAGGCCCAGGATGCCCGCCGGGCGCTGGCCGACGCAGCCCGCGAGAAGGACTCGCTGCAGGATTCCAACACCAAGCTGCGGGCCGCCATCCGCTGGGCCGAGCAGGAGAAGGCCAGGTAGAGTGGCCCCCAGGAGCAACTCTCACCAGCCTGGCCGGGTTAGGCCCCAGGGGCAGGGCAGGTGAGACACAGGGCGTCCTACTGGGCGGGGCCCGACAATGGTGCAGAGCGCCCACCAGGAAGGCCCGGGGTGCCAGCTGCCCACCCAGACAGTCCGCAGTGCAGGCCTGGGATGGGGAGGCTAGGATGCCCTGGTCCTGTCCTCACCCTCGAGAAGTTCTGTCCAATAGACGAGATAGGCCCTGAGCGGCTGGAAGGAGACAGCCCAGGGCTGGGGAGTGAAGGCGGCCCCCAGGGGCAGGACAGCCGGCGGGCCTTCACGGGGAGTCTCAGAGGGGCCACGGGGACCGGGAGGGGCTGGGGGGATGCTGAGGCCCGGGGAGAGGGGCTGAGACCTGAGGAGGGGGCTGAGACCAGGGGAGGGGGGGCTGAGACCTGGGGAGAGGGCTGAGACCTGGGGAGAGGGGGCTGAGACCTGGGGAGAGGGGGCTGAGACCTGGGGAGAGGGGGCTGAGACCTGGGGAGAGGGACTGAGACCTGGAGAGGGGGCTGAGACCTGGGGACAGGGGGCTGAGACCTGGGGACAGGGGGCTGAGACCTGGGGAGAGGGACTGAAACCTGGGGAGAGGGACTGAGACCTGAGGAGAGGGGGCTGAGACCTGGGGAGAGGGGGAGCTGAGACACGAGGAGGGGGCTGAGACATGGGGAGGGGGCTGAGACCCGACCTTGGCCATGGCAAGCGGCCCAGCCATGGCAGAGTGCCACCCAGACAGAGCGTTCCTGCAGAGGCTGGGCTTCGGGAGCCTAGGACTGCAGGCGGGGAGATGGCGGCCTGCTGGTCACCAGGACAGTCCCCTGGGGTGCCGGAACCCCTCCCCAGCCTGAGCCCACGCACGCCCCTCCACTCAGCTTCAAGCGCTCCATGGAGGAGAGGGAGCAGAAGGTCCTGGTCCTGGAGAAGGCCTGGGCAGCAGCCCAGAAGCAGGCAGGCAAGCTTCGGACCGGCCTCAGGGAGGCGGAGCGGGCGGCTGTGGACACCCAGCGGCAGCTCCAGGAGCTACGCAGACAGGTGAGGGTGCCACCCGGGCCCCGCCCCCAGGAGCACCCCCATCCCCGCCCCCAGGGCACTGTCCCCAGGCTGGGAGCCACGGCAGAAGTGCCCTGCTCAGACCCACGGGGCCCAGGTTGGGCCTGCCAGCGAGACACAAAGGCAAGCCCTAAACTCCCTGGCTTAAAGCAATCTCCCTGACGCCCATGAAGCCTGAGAGCCAGGAATCCAGTCAGGGGTCAACACAGCTCTGCTCGGCAAGGACCAAACAGAGAAGACCCGGCCGCACGGGGCGGGGGACTGACGGTGGGCTCCCCCGACGCGCCTTCTCTGGCACCTGGTGTCTGATGCTGGCTGTGGGGGTTCAGCCGGCCAGTGCCCATGCCCCCAGTGGCCTGGGCTCCTCCTATCACGCCGCCTCCAAGCTCAGGGTGAACAGACGGGCACCGCTTTGTCCACCGGCCTTGGCTCCTGAGACTGCAACCACTGACACGACCGCCTTGGTCTCAAGCTCACCCCATGGGGGTCCTAGAGCCCCCCTCGTGTGGGAGGCCTGCCAAGCGTGCACACACACTTTTTTCAGCCTTCTACAGACACGGCAGTTGGTGAAAAGCCTGCTGTAGGGACAGGCACGGGCACAGTCCTTGCTCACGTGGCCTGTGCTCCAGGCATCACTCACGGCTCTGGGCGCCTCAGGATCCCGGCCCCAAGACAGGAGGTGCCGGCAGAGGCTGGGGAGAGCCTGAAGGGGTCAGCTCCTGGGGCCTACTCTCCCAGGGGCACGGACAGCCCGCAGCCCTGAGTGGGCCGTGACTCAGCCTCCCCGCGTTCCGTCTGCTGCCCGAGAGGGGGGCCCTCTCCACAGAGCATGTGAGCAGGGGCGGGGCTCAGCACGGCCCGCTGACCACCCCAGCCCCTCCTGGCACAGGGGCCCAGGCAGCCCCGTCACACTAGCCCTTCCGTGTCCAGGTGACGACGCTGGAGACAGAGAACCAGAGAAAGAGCCGGGAGCTGATGCGGCTGCAGACGCGGGGCGCCCAGGAGCCAAGCTGGCAGGAGGCCCTGGCGCTGCAGAGGTTGGTGGCCGAGGCGGAGGCCGCCCATGAGGACTCGCAGACGGAGGTGGGTGCCCAGCACCTAGGGCTTCCATCTGGCCAGAGCAGGACCGTGAGGGGGCCCTGGCTGCCTCCTCCCCGGCCTAGGCACCTCCCGATGGGTGGGGGCGGCTGCGTTTATTCCCCATTTGCTCACAAGTATTCAGAGGCCCCTCACCCAACTGTGGAGGGGCACCTGAGGGGCACAAGTCAGGCTACAGGCAGGGTCTGCGGCAGCCGACAGAGTATCCGAATCAGGAGGGACAGGGTGGACGCTGCAGAGGCGCGGCTGGGTCAGGGAGGGCCCGTCCGCCCCGGGGCTGCACCACCGAGAGGAGGGAGAGGACGCTGGCCCAGCGGGAGGTCCATGGGGACGGGCCCCGGTCGGGGGCAGGGGGCTTGGGGGGCAGGAGTGAAGTGAGCGGGAGGAGGGGTGGCCTGGCCACTGGCCCGCATACACTGACGGGACAGCCTTCCGCTCGTCCCCTGTTTACCCCTTTGGAAGCCCATGGTGGGTGCCCTGGACTCAGCACCACAGCCGGTGAGCCGCGGCAGACGGGCCTGGGGCTGGCCCCAGGCAGGCCCAGGAGCGGGCAGCCTTTGGCCGTCGCCCTGTCTGGCCAGGGTTGTGTGGCTGCCAGCCAGGCTCTCTGCTGCCTGCCGGGACCTGCTCGTGGTCTTGGGGTGCTGCCCCCACCCGGGCTCAGGGGTCCCTGCTGCCAGAAACGTGCTGGGAGGCAAGTCCAGGGTCCCCCTCCTGTGACACCCAAAGGAGGACGTGAGGCTGAGGCTCCTGGGGAGTCTTGGCAGGTCTGGAGCCCCCACACCCCTCCCACAGGTCCGGAGGCTGCGGCAGACGCTGGCGGAGGTGGAGGCCCGGGCCGAGACCCGGGAGAAGCAGCTGGAGCGGCAGCTCTGCGAGAGCCGGGGGTCTGAGCGGACCCTCCGGGCGGAGCTGCGCAGCGTCACCCGCAAGCTGCAGCAGGCCGACAGCGCGGCCAACAGCCTCCAGGCTGGCCCAGACGGGGCCTGCCGCCGGACCCACGGCCTCGAGCAGGAGCTGGCCCAGGCCGAGGGCGCCAGGCGGGAGGCGGAGGGCCAGCGGGGCCGGCTGTCCTCTCCTGAGCTAGTGAAGTGAGCGGGAGGAGGGGTGGCCTGGCCACTGGCCCGCATACACTGACGGGACAGCCTTCCGCTCGTCCCCTGTTTACCCCTTTGGAAGCCCATGGTGGGTGCCCTGGACTCAGCACCACAGCCGGTGAGCCGCGGCAGACGGGCCTGGGGCTGGCCCCACGCAGGGTCGTGTGGCTGCCAGCCAGGCTCTCTGCTGCCTGCCGGGACCTGCTCGTGGTCTTGGGGTGCTGCCCCCACCCGGGCTCAGGGGTCCCTGCTGCCAGAAACGTGCTGGGAGGCAAGTCCAGGGTCCCCCTCCTGTGACACCCAAAGGAGGACGTGAGGCTGAGGCTCCTGGGGAGTCTTGGCAGGTCTGGAGCCCCCACACCCCTCCCACAGGTCCGGAGGCTGCGGCAGACGCTGGCGGAGGTGGAGGCCCGGGCCGAGACCCGGGAGAAGCAGCTGGAGCGGCAGCTCTGCGAGAGCCGGGGGTCTGAGCGGACCCTCCGGGCGGAGCTGCGCAGCGTCACCCGCAAGCTGCAGCAGGCCGACAGCGCGGCCAACAGCCTCCAGGCTGGCCCAGACGGGGCCTGCCGCCGGACCCACGGCCTCGAGCAGGAGCTGGCCCAGGCCGAGGGCGCCAGGCGGGAGGCGGAGGGCCAGCGGGGCCGGCTGTCCTCTCCTGAGCCGCCCGGCCCCCCCACCAGAGGTCAGTGCCCTCCGCGCCCGCCCCGTCACCCGCCCGGGGTTCCCCAGCTCCCCAGGGCTCTGCCCCGCTCCCCGTGAGTGAGGCCAGCAGCGTGAGGCCAGCAGTGTAAGGGGGCGGGGTGCCTGTGCGTCTGCGTCCGTCAGCGCCTCCGCTGCGCCCCCTGCACGGCCCACCGCGCCCCCACCGCCCCCTCACCGTGCTCAGCCGCCGTCAGCGTCCCCACCGCGCCCCACCGCGCCCCCACCACGGCCCAGCGGTCGCCTCTGTCCTCAGGCTCAGAGGGCCGGTTCCGCTCGCCGCTCCAGAGGCCCTCGCCCAGCCCTGGAGACCGCAGGGCAGAGGGGGACCCGGGCCTCCATGAGGGATGCTCTGAGGGACTTGACGCCGAAGCCGGGGGCTGCCCAGCAGGAGGGGTAAGGGGAGCAGGGAGCACACGCCCGCGGGGCCGAGGGGGACGGGGAGGCGCCGCTCACTCGGGCCGCGGGCCTTCTGTCTGTCCACCCTGGCTCTACTGAGACCCTGGCGGGACCTGGTAGGAGAAACACCACTAAACACTGGAGCCACTGGAAGCCCAGCTTCCCCCTTGTCCGGCTGCCTCTGTGCTCGGCCAGCAGCAATGCCTGTCCTCCGAGGACCCATCCCAGGGGCTAGCCAGGTCACCCCACAGTGCTCCAGTGACCTGTACTCCAGGGACCAAGCCCTGCTGCCCTGGGGACCCCCGTGAGCCCTGCCCCAAGCAGCCGTGAGCTGCCCCACTGCCAGCCGCCAGCCAGGCACGTGGACTGCCTGCCCACCCACGGGCTGCCCCCGACCTTGGTCCCCCACAGGACATCTGGTGTTCCCAGGCAGGGGGCCTGAGTGCCCCGCGGGGCGAGGCCAAGAGTCAACACACCTGGGCCCAGAGCCGCGTGGGGCAGCTGCAGAGGGCACTGGCTGATGGAGGAACGGGAGCTCCTGCCTCCGCCCTGCCCCAGGTACCACAGTGAGGGGCATCCTGGGAAACGCCAGGCTTGGGCCCCGGGGCCAGCCCCCAAAGCACACACCCGCCGAGGGCATCCAGCACTTGGCAGCCGGAGGTCTTTCTCAGCCATACTTCCACATCGCAAGAGACCTCCAGGGCCTCCCCACCATGGCGCCCAGCTCCTGTGGTCACGTGGCCCTTCACCCACCAGGTCCCTGCCCTGCATCACCCCCTCGGAGACAGGCCCCCTACCCTGCTGGTCCCGCCTCATTTCTGTACCATCCCCACGCTGGGTCTGCTCAGGAGGCAGGCCGGGGCCTGGCACAGTGTCCAAAGGAGGGGCTCCCTGGGGCAAAGCCAGAAGGAGAGAAGGCTGGGTGGGAAAGCGTCACCTCCCCTAGGGACTCTGAGCTTCCGGGCAAGACAAGTAGAGCAGGGGACGATCAGACAGAGGCCTCTCCACCAGCTGGGTGTCGGCCACCTAGACCCTCAGGGCCTCGGTCTCCTGGGCCGTGCAGGTGCCCCCCAGACCTGGGAGCCAGTCAAGCGGCCGCGCTTGTCCCCCAGGCCGGCGCCAGGTGGAGGGCGAGCTGGGCAGCACACAGGCCGTGCGGGCCCTGCAGGAGGCGCCCCCGAGGCTGAGGCGGGGCGCCCGGCACGCGCGGCGGGCCACGAGAAGTGGAGGCTGCAGGTGGGGAGCACCCACACCCCAGGGCAATGGGGGGACGGGGAGGCCGAGAGGGCTGCTGAGGAAGGGGAGGTTTCAGCTGCCCTGGTCAGAGGCCGCTGAGCTGGCTGGGGCAGACGGCCCCCAGGCACACTGGGCCCTGCGGAGCTAACTCCTCAGGGTTGACCCAGGCAGAGCATCTTTGAGGTGGTCCAGCCCTTACTTTACAGACTGGGGAAACTGAGTCCTGAGCAGAGAGCGACTTGGTCCCCATGGCACCGTGAGCAAGGGGCAGGGTCAGGGCAGACCGCAGCCGCCCAGATCTGTGCTTCCAGGGCAGGAAGGGGTGACACCGGCCCAGCCTAGGCGCTCTCCGCGTGTGCGGGGTCAGGGGTCAGGTTTACCACCGTGGGACCAGGTCCTGGCTGGGAGCTTGTGAGGTGCCCAGGCACTGGGGGAGGGACTGAGAGAGCAGGGGAGAGGCCCAGGTCGTGTTCTGTTTCACAGGGATGTTCACATATATCTGTTCCATGCACGTTTAAAAGCAGTTTCCTGTTTGCAGATTACAATTTTCAAAATGTCTCTATTAAATTAACCTCACAAGTGTATCTTTCACATACTCCACCCACATTCTATCTCCTGAGTTTATCACAGCTGGGAATCATGTGTTGAATTTTCCCACTACAATTATTGCGAGGCAGTGTCTCCTTCTAATGGTCTTTAATTTCTGATTTCTGTGACACGCTCTGTCTAATGTGAACTGGAGGCCTCTGTGCCCTGTTCCACACTATCTGCCTTGAATTCTACTCTGCTCGGGGCTGGCAGTGCCACCCCACCACCCCGACCTTGGACTCTGCACTTGACTCTGTGTGTATTTGGCCATCACTTCATCAGCCTCCCTTCAGTTCAGTTCAGTCACTCAGTCGTGTCCAACTCTTTGTGACCCCATGGACTGCAGCACACCAAGCCTCCCTGTCCATCACCGANCAATTTTTTCACTCTCCTATTTCACTTTCATCAAGAGGCTCTTTAGTTCTTCTTCACTTTCTACCATAAGGGTGGTGTCATCTGCATATCTGAGGTTATTGATATTTCTCCCAGCAATCTTGGTTCCAGCTTGTGCTTCCTCCAGCCAGGCATTTTGCATGATGTACTCTGCATGTAAGTTAAACAAGCAGGGTGACAATGTACAGCCCTGACATACTCCTTTCCCGATTTGGAACCAGTCTGTTGTTCCATGTCTGGTTCTAATTGTTGCTTCTTGACCTGCATACAGGTTTCTCAAGAGGCAGGTCAGGTGTTCTGGTATCCCCGTCTCTTGAAGAATTTAAAGCTGTGTGCTGAATGCACTCTGCTTTTCTTCCATCGCTGACAGGACACTCACTGCTGTAACGCCCCCTTTCTGTCCTTTTACTGGGGGATCACTTGTGTGTGTTTCCCCCACCCCACCCCCGCCTCTTCTCCAGCGTCTACACGCTGGCATCACACCGCCTCCCCTTCCTGGTCACCTCTTGGGGAGGGCAGCGCTGTAACTGAAGCACTTCCTCGGCTGTCCAGTGTTAAGTGTGAAGAGCACGTATGCATCTCCTGAGCTCAGGGACGCCTTGGCTGGACCCTGGGCCTCTACACCTGTGCCCCGGGCTTACAGAAGCTGCTCTGCTCCAGGCGGTCCCCACTGAAACCTCGCCGCAGCCCGCCCTGCGCTCTGGGACCCGCCCTCCTTGCTGACCTTGAACGCCACCTTCCTGTCACGGCTCCCACCACGCCTGGGGACTCAGGGTCTCAGAGAGCTCAGCCGCCCTGGCTGCTCTCCCGGCCTCCCCGCGGCCCTGGGCAAGCCCTCATGTTTTCACCGAGGATGGTTCACTCTCTGGCTCCAGCCCTGGTCTCACCTTCTTGAGAAAGTCAGTTACCATTTTCTGACACGATTCGCATGTCTCACTTTTCAATTCGAGTCCCTCAGATCAGACTCTGGGGACTGGCTGCTCTCCTGAACCATAGTAGATGGCAATTCAGTTGCTAATTCTTTTTCCTTCTTTCAAGAAGGGGGTGTGGTCTTGTTCCAAGCTGGGGTAAAGGGGAACCCATCAGGGGTTTCATGTGCCTCTGCCCAGACATTTCAGGCCAAAGGAAAGGCAGAGAGCAAGATTCCAAGGGGAGCCGTGGGGGCCATGGGGAGATGTACGGAGCCATGGGAGTTGTGGGGAGGTATGGGGAGCCAGGGGGACATGTAGGTAGCCGTGTGGAGATATAGGGGCTGTGGGGAGAGTAGAGAGTCGTGGGAAGATGTGTGGAGATGTGGGGAGATGTGGGGAGATGTGGGATGTTTGGGAGATGCGGGAGAGATGCGGGGAGATGTGGGGAGATGTAGGGGAGATATGTGGAGATGTGGGGAGATGTGGGGAGATGTAGGGAGATGTGGGGGAGATATGTGGAGATGTGGGGGAGATGTGGGGAGATGTGTGGAGATGTGGGGAGATGTGTGGAGATGTGGGGATTGTGGGGAGATGCGTGGAGATATGAGGAGATGTGGGGGAGTGGCACCAGAGGCATCGCTGAGTCCCCCAGAACTTTTCTGTTCCAGGAATAGGGAGAGTGAAGCCTGACCTCCAGGCACAGCTGGGGGCCCTTCCTGGTGACTCAACCCCTATGACCTTGGTCCCTGAAGGCCAAACCCCACCCCCTGCA